ATAATGTAATATAAATGTTTTGTCATTAAAATTCGATTTTTCCGAAAAACGCGATACTTAGTAAATCGTCGCGCACACGAAGAGGATGATTTTCATGTCTCGGAAACTTCGGTTAATTAAATCGGTCACGAGAGAGGCCGCCGTCGGGTGCAGCTGTCTCTAAGAGATTTTCCAACACGAAAATCATCCCGGCCATTTTTATATACTGCATAATCCTCGCCGCCCCCCTCGTCTCGCGTAGCCGCCCTCGTCGTCGTCGTCGTCGTCTGTAAGAGTAAAACACTAATTACAGCCCGACGCGGTCGCTTCCGTCGGCAGCGTAGACAAAAGCAGCTTTAGAGAGCCCGCAAAGCTCTCCGTTCTCTCGATCTCTTTCTTTCTCTTTCTCTCTCGCTTTCTCTCTCCTCCGCCGAGCTTACTCAACTTTCCGCAAAGTGCGGTGCCTCTGCGGAAGACGGCCGACGGAATCGGCAGAGATTTTGTCGCGCGTGCCGCAGTCGTTGTCGGGCCGCACAACGGACAATAATTTCGCGGGTAATGCAACCCGCCGCACCCGGATGAACTCTCGATGTTCCCAGAGCGCGCAAAAGGAACAACTTTCGCGTTGCTGACGAGTTTCCGTGTCTCGGCAACAGTCCGCGAACACACAGCCCAAGATCTCTCTCGCCGGAGGAAAGCCAACTCCTCTTTTTTTTTTTTTTTTTTTGCAAAAAAATCCAATTATCATACAAATCCGTAATAATCCGTCTCCGATTACAGAAAAGATGACGATAAATTGCATTCCGACGGAGACGACTATTGTTCAATGCGAGAGCGAGGCGCTCACATTGCGCTTTCACAGACATTTCTCGAATCACACGCTCGCGACACTGTCAACATCTATTGTATCAAAAAAAAAAAAAAAAAAAAAAAAAAAAACAATACAAAAAAAAAAAAAAAACAAAAAAAAACGATCGTCACTCCATTCAAGATTTTTCTCTCTAAAATATTGTCGTTTTTTGTCCAATTGAGCCGAAAGATTTTTGTTCCCAAATACAGAGAAGAAGACACACAGCTTAGAGCAGATATTGCCAAACGATATTTTCATCCAGTTTTTTTTCTTCCTCGATATTTCACGTGAAGAAGAATTACGCCGAGAACGATGAGCGCGCTGCGCAAAAGCGAGACCCGACGTTTCGACTCACGAGATGCGACGGACGAAGACCGGGCCGGCTCGCACAGATTTGTCTAGAGTTTAGCGGCGAGCTTCGGGCTCGATCACACTTGTTGAGGGGAAAGCCTTCGCGCCACCTTCATCACCCTCCTCCTCGTGCTTGTCCTCCACCTCTCTCACGGGTATTCTCTTTCCCCTTCGTTCTCTTTCTCTGTCTTGTCTGGTCCTTCTCCCCTTCTCTTCCTATCCTTCGGCTTTTCCTCTCTGTACGCTTCCTCCCTTCTCTTTCTCGCCACTTTTGCCTCATGATCTATCTCTCCCACCTCTGTGCGGCACCTCCGCGAGACGACCTTGACCTCACGTCGCGTCCGCGTTGTCCTAATGTTTTCGTCTAAAACGTTCTCCGCCGATGCCGGGAGTCTTACCCGGCTGCCCAATCGATTACGGGAAACACGTTACGATTCTGTCTTGCGTATCTCCAGTCCGCGAGAGTCCGCGAGGTAAATCTGATAACGACGTAAGATTCCCGTGATTTGACGGCGTGTCGATTCGACGCGTCGAATTTCGAGCTTATTTACTCGTTCTCGACGAAAGAAAATCGCATTACAGCGCAAACGCCGTAATTGTTCTGCGGTTGGCAACCGGAAGGGTTACTAACCCCCTCCCGGGACGGCCATGTGCGTCGATGACACGTCAAGCTCGATCTCCTCCCTCCCTCTGGTCTCTCGTCACCTCGTCCCCTCCGCCGTGGCGCCGTTCTTTGATCATTGGCGCCGCTGCGCTTTCTCGGAGAAGCTCTCGCGCGCGCCGCTTGAAGGTTGAAAGAGAGGGAGTAGGTGTATGCGTAGAGTAAAGGCACGACACACGCGAGAGAGTTATGTCATCGTGCGAGAGAGCGGGCGAGCACGTTTCTAGCTGATAACGCACTCGCGCGATGACGAAAAGGCGACGTCGTCGCGCGGAAGATTCGATTACGCGCCGTCGGGCGTAATAACTTCCAACGACAAAGAGAGGCCTCCGGTTTCTCCGCGTGAAAATTGCGCCACGTCCGACGATTGCTCGCGACGATAATTCGCTTGAATTTTTACGTATTTACATCTCGTCCCGTTAAGAAGAGACCCGTAGACGCGCGAGATGTATACACGAAGAGGTGCGGGGGCGCGTTTTCGAAAGCTTCGGAAGCGAAAACGCGAGAAATGACAACCACTGGGCTGCGCCGCGACTTATCGCCGTGTGCGCAGCAGTTTCATTCGAACGAGTGTGTGGTGCATGTCGTAAAAAAAAAAAAAATGCACCGGCACCACCTCCAGGTTGTTACTCAGACACCAACCTGGATCGCGCGATACAATCAATCGGTCGTAAATATCGCGGCGAAATCGTAACCGCGGAATATCGGACACTCCCGTTTCACCGTGCGCGCGCGTTTAAAGGAGACACGACGACAATGGGGGCCGCCGTGTGTTCGCGAAATGTCACTCGGGGAAAATTAATGCGACGCGAAACCCGCGAGCAGAAAAGACAGATTATATACGCCGCCTTCGTTATCGGGCAGAAATATATCCGCGCCGGTGAGAAAAGGAGAAGTTAATTTTTTTTTTTTTATTCTTTTTTTTCCGCACTCGCGAACACTTAAAAATTGCGTTAATTCTTCTAGCGCGCGCGCGCGCGCGAGATGAAATTAAATGCTCTCTCGCCGTCCACGCGCGGTTTGCGCTCGTGAGAGCGGCGGTGTGTCGTGAGCGACACACAGCGCGAAAGAATATTGCGCCGCGTACAGAAAATAATTATAAAGAAAAAAAACCGAGTGCCAGAGGAGACAAGAGAACGTAAAAGACGCGCGAAACAAAATTAAGAGCAAGCGAGAGGTAACTACGACCGGGCGTTTCATTAAAGAAATAATTACTAGATACAGGAATATATAAAACACAATTCTGAATGGTTTAGTTTTTTTTTTAACACAATGTTTTTAGATTTTAAATCCTAAAACTTTGTTAAATTATTTCTTTGATAAATGTCCGGCCGGGTACTGGTCACTGGGACACTTGCTCGATAGAGAAGAAATATTCTCGATATTTTTTTGTTAAAAAATATTTTGAGATGTTTGGATTTCCGTTCAAGTTGGGACAAACACGTTCGCGGCTTTCGTTTCGCGATTTCACGTCGCGCCGCTTTCCTTCTTCATTTGTGCTCTCCCGACATACAGGAGAGAACATGACACCGAGTTATTTCACTTCCAGGTACCGATTTGTCGCATTACAAAGCGCGCAATAGGTGAAAGCGAGCGCTTTAAATCCCGTCGTCGTCGTCCGTCGTCGCGCGGGGACGCGCGCGATTATCATCGGCAGGGGAGAGGAGTTTTGAGAGATTCGAGCGAATCGGAATGCGAATCTTCTCTCCCAGTCTGGGAATCTGGGCCGTTTGTTCTAATGACGTTCGCCGATGCCAAGTTTCGCGTGCAGTTTCGCGAGACGCAACGATCGGTTGCGGAGCGCACGTAGTCACACGTCACGTTCGCGCGCGATTCCGGTAAAACTATTTGTTTCCCTCGATCGACATAGATAGATAGATAGAGAGGAGAGAGAGAGAGAGAGAGAGAGAAAGAGTCATCCGTCGTAAAATCCGCGTTAAACCGACAAGAATTCGCGGTGCAAACGATAATCTCGAAATATTTCCAAGAAAATCGAGACTCGACTCGGTTCGCGAGTTTTTCAAATATTGGCAGTGAGCTTCGAGAGAGCCGCCGTATAAATTATACACTTCGCGCTCTACGTTATTCAAAACGTTGGAACGTTATTCGCTGATGTCGAGATGTAATTTTTGAAACGTAGATATTGGATGTATCCGGTGCGAGAACAGGAGAGAGAGAGAGAGAGAGAGAACGCGGCTCTCTCCGAAGAGATATCGGAAAACAAACATTTTTCATACCTATTCGCGGTATAATCTCGATTTATCCGCGGTCCCGGATTTTTACGTAGCTTCCCTTCCCTTCCCCCTTCCCCGTTACCTCCCTCCCAGTCTGACTTGATTTCAAGAGAAATTGATTGCAACCAGATGCTAATTAAACGCGAGATTCGCGAAAATTCATACCGCGGCGCGGTTCGAAGCGCCCTGCAACAACGAAACGAACGAAACACAAAAACGAAAATGGAAGCCGCCGCTAATTTCGCGAGCAATTATTTATCGAAGGAAAAACAACGGCGACCGCCGTTGTTTAGTTTGCGCGCGTTGTTGTCCGAGTTATGCGGCGCGTTATACTCGCGCGGTTATTCCTTTCATCGCGCAATAATATTCAGAACAACGCGCTTTATCTCCGGCGTTCTCTGTGCGATATTCTCCGCCGCGTGCGATTGTTGCGTATATTAAAATTATTCCCGAGTATTCATATGTAGATGCGCGCACTCGACTTCCTTAACATAATTAAGCGCGCGCGCGCAAAGTCGGCGAGAAGCGTTTTCTTAATATATTTAAATTTAATTTGCCACGCGCTAGCGCGGCATTCGCTGTTTGGGATTTTGTTAACTATCAAAAAAAAAAAAAAAAAAAAAAAACTAGAAAATGCAATGCGCGAATTCGAGCGCGAACATCCAACGACGGAAATACACCGAGAGATGAGGCACACGAAGAATCGCAGTGTACAAATGTGTTTAAATTCGGTTTAAGATGCTCGCAGCATCCGCAGGAATTTTAAGTACGTAGGATTTTTATCTCCAATTGCCAAAAAAAAAAACAAAAAATGTTGCGCAACGTAATCAAGCTCGAATAGCGGAATACGCTTCATCTTCTATGTGTGCCTCATCTGGTGAGATCAGTGGATACGCAGAAGCTGCTTTAAATCGTATGCTCTTACTTTAATCCATCCTCCATGAGCGGTCACGACCACATACAGCAAATACAGATCTATATCCTTCCCGTTGATCTTCGGAAATTTCTTGAAGAGAGTCCTGGAATCAGAAACAAATCCGTTAGTTCCAAGTGCGATGAAGACGCAACAAATCTTACGCCTTAATCGACTTAATCGCTCGACTTATTGTAACGAAACTTGTTTTCAGATTTGCGAAAAAAAAAAGAAAAAAAAACAAGAATCACGTCGTCGAATCTGCAAACTTTTTTTTTCGACAACTTCTTTTCAACCATCTTCCGTACAAACGCAGCGCGCAAACTAATCGTCTAATTAACCCAGATAAGAGGTCAAGCGTGTCTCTGTGATTCACCGCCTCAAGGCTCGCTACAATGGGGAAGCGATAAGTGATACTTGTACACCTTTTTTTCACGCACGAAATTTCAATGCACGAGAATTCAATCGCGAAATAAACGGCACACGACACGAAGCGAGACCTTGATTTTCACGAGAGGCCTTTCGAAAAAGACGTAAAATCTATACAACGCGCATCGTTTCCGTTTTTTTTTTTTTTTTTTTTTTTTTTTGCACAACACGCGCGTGAAAAAAAATTCGCGATACTCATATCTTCCGTAGTTGAAACACTGATCGAGAGTATTTGCGCTATATGCTGGTACTTACATACATACGTACACACACATACACGCACGCACACGCACGCATGTTTTTACGAGGTTATTATATATATATATATATATATACATATTCACACACACACACACGCACACACATACTTGAGATTCGCGTCTCGTTCGCAGAGTAGCACGAGATAAAAAAACAAAACAAAAAAAAAAAAAAGCACAAAAGCAATCGGTAAACAGACGACGTTTCATCCCGCAAAACCTTTGTGCAGCTCGACGAGTCGAGAAATCGGTTTGTCGGAAACATAACCTCAAACGCAAACCTCGCGCAAAACCTCGCTGGCGTGCCGTCGCGGCTTCTGCCTGGCCGTGTCGATCGGTCGAGTTTGACCGACGATCAAGATCATGGGAGGGGAAGATCCAAGTTTGCGGGGGAGACGATCCTTTTTTGCGGAGACGCATCGCGGAAGCTTGGAGGAGGAGGAGGAGGAGGAGGAGGAGGTCAGGAGAGAAAGGGGAGGGGAATCGTGTGCGGCAAAACGGAAGGAGAAAGCGCTCTCGTAATATCTCTCTCGCCTTACCCTCGAGTCTCGTGGAAGTGTCGGAGATCCTTGAGGAAGTTCTCCCGCTCCTTCTCGTACGTCACGGGGTCCTTGTTGAGGATCTTGGCCATGTTCGCGGGTGCGAGTGCGCGCGGGCGTGCTAGTCGGGGTGGTGTTGTGCTCTGGGTTTACAGGGCACGCAGGGGCAGCGGCGGACAGACAAGTAGAAGGAGGTGCAGCACATGGGCGCGCACGGGGGCACATTTACGCGAAGAGCGTCCTTCTGTTGCTGTTGCTCTCACGGCGTGCGGGGACGCGCGAGGACGAGGACGACCGCGGGTCGACACGGGGTCGCGACCCGCTCCCGACATCGGGTCCGTCTTGTCCCGCAAAACCCGAAGTCGGCCGGTGGCCTCTTCGTCGCTCCGTCTCTCACTCACTCTCTCTCTCTCTCTCTCTCAGTTTCTCTGTCTCTCGCGTTTCTCGCACTCTGTGTCTCCTTCTAACGTTTGTCTTTCTCCTCTGCCTTTTCTTTTTTTTTTTCACTCCTCGGTCTCACGTTCTTTCTTTCTTTCTCTCTCTTTCTCTCTCTCTCTCTCTCTCTCTTTTTCTCTCTGTCTATCACCAGTGTAAGCTCGCTCGTTCGCTCTCTCGCTCGCGCGCGCAAAACGAGACGACGACGACGACGACGGCGACAACGACGACGACACCGCGGCGGCGGCTTTTCCTTGTCGTACCGCCGCCCCCGGATCGCCTTCCCGCCGCGTAACGGCGTACGAAACCGCTCTCACGCGCGATCCACCACGGGGAGCACTCGCGCCGTGTGCAGGGAAAAATCCGAATGCGAGAGGGTACAACAGTCAGCAGCGAGCGTACGAACGACCCGCTCGACTCGCGCTACTCGAGAAACGCGGGGGCGCGTTACGGGCACAGTACAAACGAGGCACACAGTACGCCACGGCACAGCACGGCACGACACGGTACCCGCTCGGCTCCGCTCGGCTCGGGCCGCGCGGCGGTGTTTCACGAGAGGCAGCCGAGAGAGAGAAAAACGTAACAACGTCGGCGGACAACGACGACCAACGGCGAAGTGCCTTTCCGCGCTCGCTCGCTCGGTTTTTCTTTCTCTCTCTCTCTCTCTCTCTCTCGCTCACAAACTCTCTCTCTCTCTCTTTTTCTCTCTGTTGCTTGCTCTCTCTCTCTCTCTTTCTTTCTCTCTCTCCTCTGTGTGTAGGCCCCGATCGATTCACCTGTCACTTGTCAACGAAACTCACGGGATCTCCGTTGCGCCACGCACCAGCCGCCTCGCGACGCCCGGCTGGCTACCGTAGCTCTCCGCGTAACGCCCGAATTCTCGGCCCGCGCGTGTGTCCGTACGCAGGCCGGCGGTGAGAGAGCGACTCGGCGGTGAGAGCGTTTCACTTGCGTAGAGCCGAAGCGCTTGACGTGCGCCCGTATATCAAAATGGCGTCCCGTGCTCGCCTGGCATCCATTGGCCGAGAGAGAAGCCACCACACGGCCAATTTCCCGTATAACGCCACCAGAGCCTGCCGATCGCTACGACGCGCCGCGACACGGGCAAGCACACCGTTTCCGCTCACCACACACGTCGGCAGCGCGCGCGCTCTCCCCCGAACGCCCCGACACGTTCGTTACCGAACGTTTTCGACCTACGTCATTTTACGCGCGGCCACTCCGCGAGCAAGTAACACAAGAAGGCCGCGTAACAAAACGGCGTGCGTAGTCCCCGACGCGGCTTTTTTATCCGTCTCCGCGCACCCGAAATCCCGGAGAGAGAGACGGAGGATCGCACAGTATTTTTACTTTCAAAATGGATGAGAGGCCCCTCTCGTCCCGCCGCGCGACAACGGTTTGAATGAACTCGCGGAATTACCGCCAGAGGCGCGACTTGCCTCCGCCCTGCGGCGTCGCCATCTAGCGGCGCCCGGCCGAAACGGAAGAGCGGAAGCTAAAGGCGCGAGAAGAGACGCGATTCGAATTCCTGATTGGATTGCGTCGTCCAAGTTTTCGACGATTGTATACCAAAATGTTCCTTGTCTCTCGTATTGCAATAAAATTAAATTAATTCGTCTTGGTTTTCTCGTTTTTTTTTTCTTACCAAACGTAATTTGTTGTAATTTTTTTTTTTATATTTAATCTACCGTCGTTTTTTTTACTCGACCGGAAGTCGAGCGCGGGCAGCGGCCTGTAGTCAGGAATCTTCCCACGTGTTCGTCGCGTTCGTCGGTCGATTCGACGTTCGGTGAAATTTTAGTTTCGAATTTAATCGTAAATTCGAACATGACGTACAAGCGCAAAAAATATCACAGAGGCGACACACACTTGAAGAAAGGCTGGAGAACGAAACGAAGAAAGAAGGACCTGGACGAGGTTCGTATCGAACTCCGACCTAACCTCCTCTTTGACCCACGTGGGGCAGCCTCGAACTTACACGTTCGACGTTGTATGTTGGCTTTCTTTTAGATCGATGAGGATTTGAAGGAAGAGAACGCGAAGAAGTTGTTGAATCAGGAATTGGACTTCGACAGGGCAGGAGCGGCTCAGTTTTACTGCGTGCACTGCGCGTAAGTTCGCGCAATATCCGTAAAATCGCTGTGTTTACACCTGCTGCTCCGATAACCTAACCCTAATACAATTTTTCCAGGAGATATTTCATAAGCGACGTTGCACTGAAGAGTCACTTCCTCAGCAAACCCCACAAGCGACGACTGAAGGCGCTCGAATTAGAACCTTACACCATCGAGGATTCGGAAAGGGCCGCGGGCAAGGGAAATTACGTTGCGCCGAAAAAGCGGAAGATCGAAACCGTGACGCGGGAGAGTTTCGCGGAAAAAGATAACGAACAGCGCGACGTGGAATTGGATGCTAAAGTGATGAAAGTCGATGACTCGAGCTAATTTTACTTTAAGTAACCGCTGCGTATCGTTGTTGAGAACTCGGACTTGACTAAAAGGGATGAACAAAAACTTGCACAGGCTCGCGTGTGCTTTGAGGCATACCTGTAGAACTTGGACGCGCGATGTTCGTCGGAAAACTTTTAAGCCGACGAGCGTCGAGAGGCACTACGGCTCGGCGCTGTTCGTTCCCGGCAACAAGGCTTCCAAAACCTTCGCGTTCCTGTATCCGTACTTGGATTTCGATCGCAGATTCGCCGATGCAGACAAATTGCAAAAAGAGCTTACGTTACGCGGAATGAACGTGGACGTTGCTCAGTTGCAGAAATCGTGGAACTTCTATGTGCGGATAATTGCGGACAAGTACGCGCTGGAGGACAGCGTTACGGAGCTCGTGAATCGGAAGAATTCTCTGCCGACGGACGGCGAACTCACCGTCGAGCAGCAACGGGAGATGCAGAAGTTGAACACGCAGATCCAGATCGTACGACAGGATCTGAAAACGATAAAAGAAGCGATATGGGAGATCGAGGAGGATGTGATGGGGAAGCTTTTGAAATTGCCGACCGACCTGGATCCGAGAACGCCTGTCGGCGAGTCGGTGGTGTTGAGGAGCGTCGGCGACGTGTCCGAGTTATCCGAGCAGATGCGCAGAGATCACATCGACGTTGGAACGAGTCTAAAATTGCTGGACTACACGAATCCTATTCATTATTATCTGTGCGACGACGCGGCGTTGTTCGAGCTGGCTGTACTGGGACACGCGGGCCGCGTTTTCGGCGAGAAGGATATGATCCGGGTGAGCGGCACGGATTTCAGTCGCAGTTTTGTGGTCGAGGCCGCGGGTTTGAATCACGAGGATCCCGCGACCGCTTTTCTGCTGCATCACAACGAGGTCGAGGCGAACACGTCGAATCGCATGCATCTGGTCGGCGGCGCGAGTCTCATCTCGTTTCTGGCGTTACACACGAAGCAACGGATAAATCCGAAGTACTTCCCGCTCAAGTACTTCGCCACCGGGAGACGATACACGCCGTTGCCGCGAGACTCGTCCGATCAAGGCCTCTTCGCGGTGTGTCAGGCGTCCGTGGCGCAGGTTTTTGCCATGGTGAAGGACGCGACGAGCGACGAGTACAGAGCGACGTTCGAAGAACTCGTGGAGACCGTGTGCGGACTGTACGACGATCTGTGCGTTCATTATCGCGTAATCATGCGATCCGCGTCCGAGCTGCAGCCCTGGGAAGGCCTGCGCGTGTCCTTCGAGATGTGGTCGCCGTACGCGAAACGATACTACGAAATCGGCCATCTGTCCGCGAGCGGCGACTACTTCAGCAAGAGGTTGCTGATCGTCTATCAAACGCCTACGGGCACCGACTTTCCCGCGGCAATATCCGGCACCGTTCTCTCGGTTCCGCGTCTGTTGGCTTGTCTGTTCGAACAGAATCCTCGCGAGTTCGTGATTCCGCCGAAAATAGCCGAGCTTATGCCTTCGAACTGATTACGTTGCGCTAAATCATTATAGTACTGATGAAAATACAGTTTCCAAATGTTGATCATCTTCAAATTGTTTCACGAACTTTCCTAGCAAATTGTAAAATCTAAAGCTTGTAGTGAAATATATGGTTTTGTATATATTTATGTGTGTACATGTTTATTTTACAAAAATAAAATGATATAATACATTTCCACAATAGTCTTATAATTTGTTATTTATCTATTTATTTGAAACTGTTTACATGATACTACCTGGAATTACTTAGGACTTATCCGAGGTATCGATCAACGTAATGTAGGACTTCAAAAGCGACTTCTACCATAATAAGAACGATAATCATCCACTCCAAACGAACGTGATGACGATCGCTCAAGTGCGACGACAAAATGCTAACCAGTTCCAAGCAATGATTCAATCTCTCGTTCATCACCTGTACAAAAACAAAAACCATTGCGTTGTAAATATTCAAAAAACATATCGATAAGTTCCTCGGTCACTTACTCTTGTGCGTTTCGCGATGCTGAAGTATCCGCAGATCTGTTGGTACAAGTGTTCCAAGTCGTCTCGTTCCCAGTAGAAGTCGGGCGTGTCGAGCAGGTCCGAACTCAAGTTGATCCGATGCCTCAGCGCGAACAGTTCGCCCTGTTTTCTCAACACCTCCTGTTGCGTCATTCGTAGCTGCCTGCCGCTCTTCAAATCCTCCGTAACAAACTCGATAGAATCGACGTAAAGATTCAACGACGCTTCCCAGATGCCCAGTTTCACGGACTGAGCCATAGCATTGGAGAACGTGTACTTGTCCAAGTTTTCAGCTTCCTGCGCCAAGACAATATCGCCATCCTTTAAGTGACTTCTCTTCCTGTCGAGAGTTTCGTGTGGATTATTAAACTTATTTTCCGCTCGCGCTTTTCCTCTCCAATTCTTTATGTTTTATTTTACACACAATATGAATTGATAATAAGAGAAAAAATAAAGCAAAATAAGATACCCGGAATCAGCATAAGTGTAATTCATCAATTCGCTCTCGGTATTAACCAGCTCGTCTGAATACCGATGTTGCTCGTAATTTTTCAAGAACTGCAATATATTGCCGCACTCGAGATCGGAAATGTTCCACATGACGATGCTACCTTCTCGGAAGAAAAATATTTCTCGTGGCTCGTACCCTACTTCGTACTTAGCAATCGCGTGTACGACGTCAGAAACAGCTGCAAAACAAAAAAGAAACCATTCAAAGTACACAAACGTAATTTATAAATTTATTCAATCACAGAATGGGGAAGGTTTTATTTTGCAAAATGAATCCGTCAGTTTGCATCAAGTTTGCATAAAGAAAAAACATTTATTTCACACGTATAAAGATATATACATACAAAATATAAATCCATACAAAACATCGTTGTTCTATTGGCAGTAACATTGTTATTCGAGGAGGAATATTGTTGCGACGTAAATGTTTCGTGTAGTCAGTTCGATGCGCTTTCCATTTCGTACTTTAATCAATTAGAAACGGACTGTCACAAGCACCTAGGCCGGTTGCCACGCCGCCTTCGTTGTCTGTGGCTAACTTTGTTCTTAACATATGACCGCCCTGTTTGTTAACAATAATGTTTTTATCATCTCCGATGATAACGCCGAATATTCCCAACTCCGAAACCAGCTCCTTCGTTTCCAGCATGACGCTACTCGCGGGCTTCACGACGTAGTTCCTGTGCACCGGCGGATAGAGTCGATCCATGAGAATCCAAGCTACACGCGCCTGCTCGGTTTTCACGGACTCCAAGTAGTTCTTGATATCCGTCCCGTACAGATTGTTGCAACCGCCTTCTCTCTGCGGCTTCAGTACGAATCGTTGCGGTTCTGAGATACCCATTTCCACCGCGGCATCCCCGTGCTCGTCAAAATCCAGCGGATAAAGACCTGAAGCGCAACGTTTCTCTCGTTTGCAACTTGTCTTTCAATATTATAGTATTTTATTTTGATTTCAAAATATCAAAGCAACTTTTTTGTAAGTTAAAAAAACTTGAAGACGATACGTTCATCAATATTTATACGACTTACCAGTGAATATTTCTTTCACTTTTGTCGCCGTTTTTTCGTCTTTCAAAAAGCGCGTGACCATCCCGGGCTTTGCCAGAGTTTGCTGAACCTTTTTGGTGCCGGCCAAGTGATACTGAATACTCGGACATTTGATCGCCAACGATCTCTCAACAAGCAGTCTCGCGTCCCATTCCTTCTGAGTGTGATACTGGCCGGGCTCGTAGCCGCATCTGTAATAAACCACTCCCACGACGTAATCGTTCACAATCAGCTCTTTGTTAAAGCCCAGCCTCGCTTCGGCCGCCAGTTGCGTCAGATTTCTTCGAATCACCTTCACATTCGGATTCTGTCTTCGTATTTCGAACTCGTGGAAACGCTGATCGCATATATTGTACGTAACGTCCTCGATGACGAACAAGATAACAGCCCTAAAAAATACTATCACACGTGAGAAAACGCAAGAATATTATTTAAATACGTGAAACGAAATAAGAGAACAAATCAACTTCAAATTCAGAAATTACGGGGGATAAAAATTTATTCTACGTACTGCGGATCGCCGTACAAGTTCCACGCTTCTATCATGCCTTCGCACAGCGCCTGCAGCGCATTATTTTCGGGAAGATTTTTCAACTCCGCCTTGTAGCCGAGTTCACGCAAAACAAACTCGTGAAGCTGCGTGGAAGCAGGTCCCAGCCAGCCGAATCCGGAGGCGATTGTGTTTATCTCGACCTGCTTCCAGCAGCAGTGAGGCTTGAACTTTTTCGTGTTCTTCTTGGGACAGCTCGTGTCCAGCATCAGATCCGAGCGCAGCAAACCGAGCGAGATCTTCTGCGCTGCGCCCTCCTTGTGTACGATCTCGTAGATTTCGAACAGCCTTCTGGTGAAGTCGTCCACTTTCACGGTCTCCTGCAGAGTCTCCTTCAGAAACTCGTAGTCGTGAGCCACGCTGTGGATGAGCTCGTTCAAAATGACCTGAATGTCGCAGGCGTTGCGAAACTCCTCACGGGGAAACGGCGACGGCAGGAGCGCGAAAGGCGCAAATTGCAGAACGTCTCGATTGAAATTGACTTTTGACCTCAGACACACACCGTGCATGAGAGCCCAGTCTTTCGCTTTGTCCATCAATTCCTCCAATTCCCTCGCCGGAAGATCCAACGAAATAGGCAGTTTCATTGTCGCTTGCTTATCTCCGGGCATTGTTGCACGCTGAACTTTGCTCTGTGTGTCTCGGGGTTTCGCACAGTTATATATATATATCACAGCTTATAAATTAGTTCGTTTCAATGTGTTCTTCTTTGTTGATGTTTTTTTTTTTTCACTCTTGTAACTTGTCGTGTTTACGAAATTTTCTCAAGTGATATTTTTTTTTCAAACAAGCAAACCTCGAGACATTTCTTGTCTCGCGATCACGTGGAATTTATAGAAAAAACAACAAAAATATTCGTAAATGTTCGAAAAACACGTCGAACATTGTTCACTTCACCGCACACGATTTTTATTCGATTATTTTCAATCGCATTAAACTTTGCCGAGTAATTCGTCCGGCGTGAAGTTCCTTCAAAAAACCGAGACGACCGTGTCGATCGATCAATACTCGTGACGCTCGTCAGAAAAAATTAACAGAAAGACGATTGTTGCCAGAGGCAGATATTTTCGAACGTATACAACACGTGTTTCGTTGACACGCACGCAGTGGCTGTCAACAACTGATCCAATTGCGATTGACCGTTCGTACTTTTATATACATGTGCTCGCGCATAACCAAACGGACCAATCAGAGTTATAAACGCGTTATATCCGGTGACTTGTAAATGTTCACGTTTGTTTTGTGCAACATCTCGCAACTAGTGTCACAATCGCGACAACCGCTAACTCATGAAATGACATCACATATTGTTTTGGAGAAACAACTCATGATGATAAAAGATGATTAAATTTAAAGGGAGCAAACAAAATACTTACAAGTATTGGACGTGGAAATTTTCATAGGTATGTACAACTGCTGATTTAACAGGCCGTAAACCAAAGCTTCCAAGTTGTACTCTTCTGCGGTGGCCAAGGCTTTCACTCTCCAGGTCTGGCAAAGAAATGAACAGTACGTGTGAGTGTGTGCATCGTCTTTACAAAGCAAAAATGCGACATTACTACGAGTTGTCCAAAGTAAACTTACATTAGGTTTGGGAATTGTGTTGTCGTCACTTAAAACATTTCTCCTGGGCGATCTCTTTTTGATTTGGAACGTAGACACGTTCTCCAAGACTTCGCTCTCCTGCAACTTGTGCTTCTGCAAATGAACCGCGAAGTTGTGAACGAGTCTCGTGTGAACAATGCACCTGTTATACGCAGGTGATTGTGTCTTTTTCCACAGAACACTCGATAGAATCCTCCAGGAAGCGTCCGTGTCGATTTTATTTCTGCAGCTCGATATCGCGAGTCTTTGAAGCATTGCGAGGCTCATTTTTTTTTTTTTTCAGATTTTTTGGCAACAAAAACAATATCACTTGTTTGCGCGTGAAGTAATGTGTGTTCGTACAAAATTTTCTTCACATGGAACACGTGGAATCAATGATAAAAAAAACGGACATGAGCGAAAAATGCAATAATTCTCGGTAGAACGTCCAATAACGTTTCTTCCTCGTAAGAACACAAAATCGACGATTATTCACGAAAAACTCGTCATCGGTTCGATTCAAACAAAAAAATCATTGTCGCGATTTCATCATACAAGCCGCACGTTTTTTCCTGACGGACGAAGGTTATGTAGCGGAGGTGAGCGATAAAATAGGTTATGCGCACTACTATTTTGTCGACACCCGTTACAAAATGAGGATCTTTCGTATATATACATATACATGTATGTGTGCTAAACACATGCATGTAATACATACGTATATTTCATATGTATATATAAATTTATGAAATATATGTATAATTTATTACGTGTATATGTATATAATCGGTCTCTCGGCTCTGCTTCTATTTTCATCCTACAGAACGTATATCAGTACTGGCTGATTAATTGCGAGGCGATGTCGATTTCCGAATATCATCGATTTGCTTTGCGTTCACGAATCACGAGAACGTGATAAAATAAAAAAACTACAATATACATAAAAACAAAAAATTAAATGTGAAAACTAAACTTTTTGTCATGTTTGATTAAAAGTTAGTATCATAATTTGTTTAGTTTTTTTTTTTTTTTCACAAAATCCGCGCCGTAGTGTTCGACTTGTATAAAAACACGTAATATCAAACTCGAAATGAATTAAAACAACAAAAAAAAGGAAAAATCGCGCGGGGAACACGAAGTTTTATGACATAAAACTGCAATTGGAAGTTGTGTCCGACATGATCAGAGAACAGTTGGACTTCGGTGGTCGCCGGTTAGGCACGAGGAAACCGTTTATCATCTTGTGCTGTTCTCTGTTGATCTTGTGCTGCTGTTCTCTGTTGTTGAGTCTCCTCGGATCGACTTGCATGGGGCTTGGCATGTTAATGGATTTTTTTAGAAACTCGGACGATGAGGAAAATCTGCAAACAGCAACGAGGAGTAAACAAGGTATCGCGACATTTTAACAAATTTTCGTAATAACTTTTTTAACTGAACTTTTCGTGTACAGTTTTCGTCTTTTCTCTTTTTCCCTATACTATGAGGAGAAAAGGAAGAAAGATGAAACGGTGCGAGTTCATCCAATCAGAAAAGATCTAACAACAATTGTTCAAATTTATGTTACAATTTTACGTATGTACAATAATAAAAAAAAAAAGCAAACTTCATAAAACATTTTCTTTATTTTAATTCCTCAACTACGTTTCGATTAAAATCGATACTTTCGCTTCCTCGCCAAAATCCGTTTGCAAAATTGTCACTTTCCAAAAACGTTCATTGATGCTTTACCCTATGTTCGACGGTCGCATGAAGATCCCGGAATCCGTCGGCGTCTCCATCATACTACTGGATACGGACTGCGGCGCGCGTTTGTTGTGCACCTCGAAGAACAACATCTTCTTCTCGATCTCTTTCTTCTCGGCTTTCAGTTTGGTGAATTTCTCAGTCAGCGTCTTTAGATTCCGCTGCGTCATCCAGAACATGTTCTTCAGTTTCTCGTACTTCATGTCCTTCGAAGAAACAGCACCACAAATTGTCACAAACACAAATTCAGTTGTTCAAAATTCACATGTACGTAACGTATAGCGATTGCTGGCGAAAGTAAAACAAAATGAGCACCACGAAGAGAACGTAAGTGGTGTACAAGGAGAACACCGCTATGAAATAGAGCGAGAACATATCGCACGAGAACATACGACGAATAAACACAATGGCGCGCGCTTATGTTATTTGTGTGTACAAAACAATAAAAGACATATGTACGAGATCTTGGAAGCGTTGCATCTTTATCTCTAACTGGTTGTTGCGGAACATGTCCACCTTCAGCAGCATTTCCAAAGTTTCGGCGAGCGGCACGAAGAACGGGGTCACCTTGGGCGTCAACGGCTCCGTCAGCGGTAGCGACAACGCGCCAACGTATTTACATTGCGGGCACTGCTTTTCCACTGCGAAATTTCACTCACGTCTTTCTCATTAAATTTCTTTTTTTTACAAAAATTTTTTCGCGCGTTCGACATTAAGAAAGGAAACGTGATTCTGTTGCTCCAGAAATTTTTGTGTATTTTATTGACGCAACCGATTGGTCGATTGGCTCAATTCAATTTCGATTTTGCATCCTCGACGTCTCTGATTTTCTTAATGCCGAGCTTGATAATTATGCACATTAAGGGAATCATCCCCGATTTCGAGGGGAGGAGGAGGGACTACGCTCTGAAAATCAGGTACTTTTGACATGCGAAGCAAATGTAATCAGAAATCGTTTATTTGTTTTCGAGAGGGGAGCAGGGAGAGGGGTGAAGCCATCCCTCCTACAAAGGGGCATAGCCCTCCCTGCCTTAAACCAAACAAAATCTACATGGAATCGAAAAATAAGAATTCATTTATGAAACTTTGTTTTTTTAAAACTTTTAAATAAACAACGAGCGTGTCTAAAACCTTCATAATATTACTCGGGACAGTGACCTTGATAACATATGTAAAAATGATTGAAATCGGAGGTGACTCTCTTTAATGTGCGTAATTACCCCGAGCTTCTCTCGATTTTACCTTGCTGCAAACAACCCTGACAAAAGATGTGACCGCAACTCGTGATGCTGTACGGCTGTTTTCCTCGGTACGTCGGGGTGAAGCACTTGTTGCAAATCAACTTGTCCATGTTGCTGAAAGAACAATGCAGACGCGCGATTTTCACAGTTTTTTTAACGCGATTTAGTTCTGAGAATTATGATGGCGTCCTCTACATCGGGTGCCGCACGGTTTTCGAGAAAATATTTTCTTAGTTTTCGCAAAACGCTTCGCATTAGACGAGGCGCAAATTATACTCTTGAGAATATATCGGAGTTTTGTTTCAATTTTGACGTGACTCAAAAACGCTGCGGTACAATATTAAAAAAGAAGAACGTTATTGTTCAAACTCACCTGCCGGCGCGAAGAGACTCGAAGAGACACAAAATAGCTGCTGATTCGCGCCTTTCGCACAAGCGCGAAGCACGAGAAAACACTAGATGCGCGATTCTGGAAAAAAATCATACGTAGTTTATGATTGATCTATCGTAAAGGCGCGCTCACACGCGATTCGCCAATCATCGGACTCGCTCGTTTATTTGCGATTGGTTGACCCCCTTCTACTACATTTTTCTTTTCTTCAGATGTCCGCACCCTTAAAACGAGATAAATATCGTATATTGCAGGATCAGAGAGATATTTGCGAGAAAGCGTAAAAAGTGTAGCCGATGACGAAACAAATTTAACTTGACGGCGCGCGAAATATTGCACCTTCTTTTTTCAGTCACACAATTTTTAGCGCGTGAGGGAAAATCGAAGTATATTTAAACTGCTAACGCGCGCTTGATCAATTTCTGCTCGACGATGAATAAAAATATTTGCGACGAACACGTAATTAAAAAACCGCCGGTTTTGCAAAACTCGAACATTAATGATCAATCGCCCTTCAAAGTACCGTATCCCGTTGCCGCAAAGAAAAGCAAGAGTAACAACAATAGTATCGACTATAAAAATATCGCCTTTACAATATCAGGTAAATTATTTTTTACAAAACCGCCGAAATTTTCTATCGTTGTATTGTATATATGTGTCTAAATATTTTTTTATTGTTAACACTTCATAGGAGAGATAAGTTCACCCTCGATAAACAGAAACACTTTATTTGCGCAAAAACCGCCTGTTTTCTTCGTCGAAGACGCGGAGGATAACGACGATCAGTTTGTTTCCAATATGAAAAAAATTATTGATGAGAATTGTCAGATGTAAAGCTGTTTAAGCAGCAATATTGATTATAATATATCCGCGCATGTGCGTCTGTAAATTAAAAATTACGTTTTCGTCTTCAAACAGGGAACGGGAAACTTACTACGGCGTGCGCGATTTGCAAACAAAATCGTACGCGACGCGAAAAAAAAAATGCGCGTTCACCGACGAAGATCAGAATCTAATGAAGCGGTTCAAGAGATCGATAGACGAGAGCAAAGCTTTGCGGGTAATTCCGCGGAAATCGCCGCAGTCCGAAAACGTTACTTGTTCCACCAGCAGTTGCGCAACGATGACAAACAGTCCGCAAGTTACCGATGTTGCGAATACCGTTCACACGAATTCAGGGTATTTTTCGATACAGAAATATAATATCTGTTATATAACGAATTAATAAATCACATTGACTGGATTGTCCAATACGTTTTTTTTTTTTTTTTTAGAGACAATCAACTTCTGTATCAAAAAACTTCGGTTGTGCAAAAAAATCATAATCTGACCGGTTTGGTGCCGCAAACCTTGAATATCGTCACCGAAGTGGAACAAATGATCTATTGCGAAATGCAGGTTTTAACACCGCCTCAAGAAACTGAATTCGATGATTAATTTCTAATTTATCGTAGTTACGAAATTGATGAACAAGTAACATATATTTTAATAAATGTGATTACACGGTGTTAAATAGTAAACACAAATTATTTAAAAATGAGTGATTGAGAAATTTAATTATTTCGGTATGTAATTAAGATAAGTGTTATACAAGTTTTTCATCACTTATTGTTACGTACAGTCTATTGTTAAGTAAAGACGTGTTGTTTTTTCTCTCTTTCCTATCACGTGACGTTACTTCAGTCACGTGTCTTTAAAAACACCTTACAAAGTAAGGTCACGTGACAGGGAGAAAAGGAAAAGCAACACGTGACTAAATTTATGGCCTGGAAAAATCCTCAGGTGATGAGCGGAGGATTCGAACTCGGGATCTACTCGGATTAGCACTTAGACTCAGGCAGCGAAACCAGTGGGCCGGTATATATAAGTATACGTATATATACTTATAAGTATATATGATATATGTATATATATCATACATATATTTATACTTCAAAATATTATGCACTTACAATACTATTGAGTGATTAATGCCGAGCGACTTTTAACCAAGATCAATGGTTACTTTGTGTCAGAAGTAAAAATGCCTGTTTTCGGACGATTTTTATTTTACATCAAATCGATAGAAAATCTTATCTTTATAAATTATAATAGACAAATTTTACTTCCTTTTTGTTTTTAAATTGATTTTTGCTGAAGCATTGCACCTTGAGATATTCAGGAGGCAGTAGAACGTTCGTCTTAAAAATCTCTCTCTACATAATATGTAATTGAAAACCAGTACTTGACAATTTGTCGATGTTGCATTTTATTTTGTTTTTAATCGCAGAAAAATTAGATCATATTCAGTTTTCTTCTTCGGAATCGTCCTTGCCGTTGTGCTCGACGGTCTTGTTATTCCGTTCAATTCCGCTTTTGTGATCCGTACCTTCGCCGCCGCTGAAGTCGCCCTCCATTCCCTCGACCTCTTCCTCGTCGTCGTCACCAGCGACTTCCGCGTTTTCGAGTTCGGCACGTTCCATCTGTCGCGCCAGTTCGGCCTCGTCCGTTGCGGTGACAACCTTCGGCTGTCAAAAAAAAAAAAGAAAAAATCAAGTCTTCATCCGAATCGCCAAACGAATCAAAGTACTTATTCGCAAAAAAAAACTCACCGCCATTTGAACATTGAATACACCTCCTAGCGAAGTTATTTTGTTTTTAATAACTTCGATCGCATCGTTCAGTGCTTTCAGCCCATCCTGTTTTTCCGGTGTGGATGTTGTCATTACTGAAGATATAAACACATGTAATATGTAATACGATTTTTTTTCAAGTGCGCACACGTGGACAAACGTAATACACATAATATTAACGCTTAATATTTTGTTAAATAAAATATCTTGAACCGTACCGTATAAAGGAGGAGCAATTAGGTTAATTTTTATAGGAAGTTCGTCGGTAGAGAGAGCTAGACCGGCCTTCAGTGCAGTCTTCACGGCGTCGATACCTTCGTACCCGTAACACGCCACTTCAACATCCGCTCGGATTTTGACCGCTTGCGACGTCAGTTTCCTCTTAATATTGTTTAACAACACCTCCTTCGTGTGCTCGTCGAGGCCACATTCTGCTAAAATGGAAGGATCCCTAAAATTATTTACAAAGTGTGTTAACAAGTATGTTAACTCCCTGATTATGCGAGTGTTGCTTCCTCTTACAATACTGATTGTTTGAAGAAGTCGTAAGCAGACGCTTTTTGTTTCTTGTATTTTTCTTCAAAGTGCCAGGCTGTCTTTTGATAGAGTTCCTCCAGCTGATCGTCGCTGTCGTAGTGTAGCAATTCCGCTACGTGTCTTAGAATTGAATTCACAGCTTTCGCCTTGGCATATCTCTCCGTGCACTTTTCCACATCCTCAGCGGACACACGTCGCTTGCTCAAGTCAATGTAACCTAGAATTTATAATTTGTGCACGTATGTGCATATATTGCGAGCAAATAAAACACACAATTCAATGAAATCTGAAATGTCTTTGATTACCTTTCTCCTTATCCACTCGAATAACGACAACAGGTTCAGTTTTGCCTACTCGTATAAGTTTATTAATAGACCTAATACGTCTCCTGGACAGTTCGGAAAGCAATATCATACCCTCGATATTGTTATATTCCAATAGATGCACATACGCGCCCATTTCGGCTATACTACGCACATTCACCATCACCACATCCTCCACTTCTGGATATTTCTCCTTGTAAAATCGACAGGACAGTACCATTTTTGCTGGAAACAAAAAGATCATTTTATTAAATTACTCGTATCAGCACACACTCACGTACAGAGTGAAAAACAATACTCCACAATAGAAAAAACCAAATTGTTAAAAAGACTAAAAAAAATTTGTACAACTGTAAGAGGTAATTTGAACGCTTTTCTAAAACCGGCACAGTGCTTTTTCCTCGCTGAATCGCACGCGAGCACCCGAATTGACCGATCGCAATTTGGAAATCATGGGAATGCTTACTGGTGCTCGCAATCTGGCAAGGAAAAACGCATTGCGCGCGGTCGTTCTGTTCCAAGACGACAAAAATATTAACAATGTTGTGGTTATTACCTAAATAAGTGGACGCGCACGACAGTAAATTCTTTCTTCAATTACACAAGCGGGGGTTTAAAGCTGCAAAAAATTACGCGAGATTAGTCAGCAATCCATACTCAACCTCGCGCTTCAATTCTCGAAGAAAACAACAAGAACTGAGAGAACACGAGCTTGATCTAACCTGTTCGTGACACGTTCGAATTAAATTACCAACTTCCTGAAGGCCTGTTCCACAATACAGTCGTAAGCCGTAAATCGTAAGAAATCGACCAATCATAATCGATTATTCTTCTGTGATTTGTCTGTGATTGGTCAATTTACGACAACGATTTTAAGTATGTTGATTGGTTATCAGATAGAGTTTTATAAAGAACTCTATTTGATAGCCAATCAACATACTTAAAATCTTAAAATATACGATACGACAAATGTAACATTAGCCTACGACTGTAGAACGATTGTAGAACAGGCCGAAACACGACGCACGATTGATTGTAAAAGTTTTCAAACTCATCGATTATCAAATGTAGACAAAATAATAAAGACTTTAAAAATTTTCAGTTCAATAGCCAATCGTGGCGTGTTTTAAAAAAACAATATCCAAGATGCACTCGAGCCTGATTGGCCGTTTAAACGAAACAATATGAGGCTGAATTCTCATGCAGACACCGGCGCTTTGACATCGAGCGTTGATTGGTGAAAAGTGGATGGTGAGGGTAAATGGCAGCTCTAATTTACCCTCATCACCTGCTTTTCACCAATTAACGCTCGGTGTCAAAGCGCCGGTGTCTGCATGAGGATCCAGCCTATGGCTGATGAAGTAAGGGCGATGTCCCATTGAGCGGAAATCTATAGCGGAACGGAATGTGCGGAACCAGCTCGACCAATCGTAATCAAAGAAAAAGCGAAGGAAAGAAAACGGAATAGCTATGATTGGTCGAGCTGGTTAAGCACATTCCGTTCCGCTATAGATTTCCGCTCAATGGGACGTCGCCCTAAGGTACTGAAAGCGATTTAGTACAAGACCGCGCTCTAAGGTGGCAACCCTGAAAAGTTACTAGAATATGGTAGCAAGCGATCACTCGTTAATCAGGCAGAAGTCATGTGGCTGAAAAGGAATTCGAAAATATCGAGAAGGTTCGGAATCGGTGGCTTGCTGGAAAAGAAAAGCGTAGAGAGACACTCTAATGGCAAAGGTCGATCTGTGTGGTTGCCGAGAGCCGTCGTTTCTCGATTGATATCGTGATTCTCAACAATCAGGTCGTATTTTGTATAAGAGATCGTCTCGCCGCTGATAAGAAGTGCAATTGATTAATTATAATAAATCTATATTATAATTATATACAAGAATCCGAGAGTCATTTATTCGGATTTCTCAGTGTCCGTTGGTAGTAAACAGTCGTGCCGGTATCCTGCGCAGTTGGCAAGGTCAAAGATGTTGATCTGCGACGTGCTAAGAACTTCGGTCGAGAAGAATTAAGACGTCGATTAAGAAGTCGTTGGAACAAACGAAGGATATTGAAAATATCTTACAGTACACAGGTATTGGCTCTTTCCAGGCAACAAATAAAAAAGTCCATCAAGGCAAAGGATTGTTACGGTCCGGTTTTAGAACAAAAGTCGTGTTGCATCAGCCATGTTGGTTGGATGTGCGTAGTTCCACTGTGAGTATTTTTGGACAATTTTCGGTGTTTTTACACCACTTTCTTTATTATCATCATTGTCTCTAGTTTAAACAAGTATGTAACTAATAATCTTTAAAGACTGTATACGTACAATGCTTCGGTAACATAAGGATCAATCTGTACTCAGACTGGCGTGTGGACTAGTCTTTGCAGTCCAATAGCCTTGGACCAAACCAAACAACAAGTGAAACAAAACAATGCCTTGATGGCCACAAATCATCAAGAAGACAAAGCGGATCCTCCACCATCTGGAGATGAAACTTTTGGAGCGAGTGCGGGAGCGGTTGTAGTATCACCCTCAATGGCAAAACCCAAGTGGCATGCACCTTGGAAGTTGTACAAAACTGTCATTAACGATCATCGGGGATGGATAAGGTGTTGTGCTGTTGAGCCTGGGAATAAATGGTTTGGTACCGGCTCAGCTGACAGTGTAATTAAAGTAAGTCTCCAATTTTTCTGAATTTATGTTTATTCAGTATAACATTTATATTCATATAGCCTATAGTTCAGTTGTTTATAATATAAATTTGTGTAGAACAAGGTAATACAATTTTTACACAAGCTTTATATGTAGTTCCTTTTTGTAATTGTAGATATGGGATCTTGCAAGCAGTGAATTGAAAGTCTCGCTCACTGGTCACGTAAGCAGCGTCCGCGGGCTTGCGTTTTCTAAAAGACATCCCTACTTGTTCTCCTGCGGCGAGGATGGGCAGGTAAAGTGTTGGGATCTCGAGTACAATAAAGTGATCAGACATTACCATGGGCATTTATCTGCTGTGTACTCTCTGGCGTTGCATCCCAGTATAGACGTTCTCGTGACGGCGGGACGCGATTCTACGGGACGTGTGTGGGACATGCGCACAAAAACGAATATTCACACGCTCGTCGGACATACCGATACGGTAGCCAGCGTGATATGCCAATCCGCCGAGCCGCAAATTGTCACCGGCAGTCACGACTGCACGATTCGTTTATGGGATTTGGCCGCCGGAAAGTCCATCGCCACACTGACGAATCACAAGAAGAGCGTTCGAGCCCTGACATTCCATCCGTCCTTGTACATGTTTGCCTCGGCGTCTCCAGACAATATCAAGCAGTGGAAATGTCCGGAAGGGAAGTTCATTCAGAATTTATCCGGTCACAATGCTATAGTGAACTGCTTGGCTGTGAACAAAGACGGGGTTTTAGTCTCCGGCGCTCACAACGGTACTATGCATCTCTGGGACTGGAGAACGGGATACAATTTTCAACGGCTTCAGGCGCAGGTTCAACCCGGTTCGATGGACTGCGAGGCTGGGGTGTTCAGTATCACATTTGACATGTCGGGCACTCGCATGATCACCACCAAAGCAGACAAGACCATAGAGGTCTACAAAGAAGACGAAACTGCCGTAAGTGAAATCTAATATCACATCAATGTTCAGTGAATGTTATCTCCTAGTGGTATATATTTTGGCGATTTTATCGCCAAAAGTTTCTCGCACACTAACAGTTCTGTATTTGGATTTTCAGACGGAGGAAACACATCCCGTCGACTGGCGACCCGACATAAAACGAAGAAAATACTAAAGTTTTACTCACGGACTTTCTATTTATGTAATTTAACAATTATGTTATACAAAGTTATTCTTTGTATTTGATGTTTTCTTAATTAAAAAAAAAAAAGATGTTTAGTAAGAAAAATTATAGTCTTCGTATTTTTTTTTTTTTTTTACACACTTCTAACTTTTACCACGTGTCCACGGAACCATAGACGTATCTACGGCCGGAAGGTAGTAGAGCAAGATATCGAGAGAATGAAAAAAATTCAAGTCGAATGATGGGATAATCAAAAAATTAATCAAAAATATTAGTCATTAATAAATAGAACGCCAATTGTGTTAAAGAAAATGTAAAGAAATATATTTACAAAATATATATATATATATAAATTTCTCAGAAAAGAGGTAGTACAGAACATAGTTTACAAGAGACAATGACATTTACAATGTTTTATATTCTTTTTTTTTTTTTAATATAATATATTGTATATTATGTATTAAACGCGCGCGCGATGTCACATCATCAGACGACTATCGTCATTATATCTTATTCTTATATTCTATATATATATATATATATATATAGGGTGCTTTCCAACTATGTACACAGGCGACACTGTGTAACAGTGTCCATTAATGTGAGTGAGACACACTGATATGCTCTTTCTCACACTAATGGACACAGTGTTACACAGTGTTGCCTGTGTACGTAGTTGGAAAGCACCAATAATGTGCACTCAGGCCGCGAGACCACTGAGCCGGTCAAATGAAATGAAACAGTAGGCCCTGATCCCACCACAGACAGTGATAGACAGAGAAAGAGGGTACTATTCAAAGGGTGCGTTCACTTTGGACGCTTACGCGCTTTAAGCGTCAGTCTGTCTTTATTGTTGTTTAAATATAGAACAAAGATAGACTGACGCTCAAAGCGCGTAAGCGCCCAAAGTGAACGCACCCAAAGTATGTTGTCTCTCTCAAGCCCCTTGCTCAATGGACGGAATAGCGATAGCGATAGAAATAACAAAAGTTTTAAAGAGTTTATATTTAAAAATAAAGATAGGAACAGCCATATATGTAATACTCCTATATTGCTAGTACGGTGCCGACCTGAAGCTCACCGTTACGGTGCAGACAATATAGTAGCCTCTCTCTCCAGCTGCTTTGTGCGCATGCGGTGAACATTCAAGCACGTTTGGGCATTTCTCTTTCTCGCGTTCTTTTCAATGCTTTGTCTCGCTCGCACTCACTTGGTAGATGCGCCTGCGCATAATGACGCTCGACCATTTATGCCCATATTTGGACTTCGTGCGTCTCCCTTTCTCGGGCTTCGTGTCTCTCATTGCGAAGATACGCGACTAGCCACGGCTGGGAACAGCGGAATCTAACATACAAAACTACACATGTATCAATGCAGATCAGAAAATCGGAATAAGCATTAGCGATAAAATTTCGGACGAGTTGGAATTCTGTGTTAAAAACTGTTATTTCTATCGCTATCGCTATTCCTTCCATTGTGCAAGGGGCTTTAGCGCGTACGTTCTCCGCGATTGCGCATAAAAACGCAACCGAATCTACGGACCTAAAGCCGGGAACCGGAAAACCTTGAGCAGTAAGAATTGAGCGTTAAAGGAATCAACTAATCACAGATCGGTATTCTTCTGAACGTAATTCGTATTTGAGACAATACCGGTCTGTGATTGGTTGATTTGCTCGAGTTGATTTGTTGTTGTGTTAAGTTCTTTCGTGTGTTTCCAGCTTTATCCTTGATGACTCGATTCAGCTTTGAGTACTGCGCGCGACATGCAACAATCAGGTTAGAGGACAGCGACATTTAGAATGGTCATCATCATCGGCAGCGGAAGCAACAGCGTGATAACAGCTACGACGACTATGACGCTGATACATGTCGCCACGAGCCACGCGTAGTCGCCGAGAACGAGAATTCCCGACTACGTGTATGAGAAAGAGGTACGCCGCGCCGAAGCAACGTCGTCCTCGTGACGTTTCTTGGTCGACTCTCGGATTCCCGGTGATAGCAAACCGTGGAACTTCGCTTCGCGAAAGATGCCGCTGGTCGTGAGAAATTGTCCGCATCTGGCCAACCATAGCGATCTCGCTTTCATCGAGGCGGTGATGAAGCGAGAAGAGCGTTTCGTCAAGTGCAGCGACTGCGACACTCGCGGACCGAACCTCTGGCTCTGTTTGTTTCCGGACTGCCGTTGGGTCGGATGCGCCGAGATGCACTTTGATCACAGTAGCGCTCACAATGTCAACTTCCCAACACACTGCACCCACATGAATTTGTCCACCAACAGAATCTGGTGCTACATATGCAAGAACGAGGCTATCGTTATGGAGTTGGAGTCCCTGCCAAGGTCACCTTCCCAGGTGGAATTCAAACCCATGACCAACAAGTTCTCTGGAGATGCTCCCGGCAGCATTGAGTCCAAATTGGATGGTCTGGACAAGTTGATGCTTGATAAGTAAATATACTATTCTTGTGTTTAAAACTTTTGTTATATTTGAGTTGAGCTGCATGAAATTTTCTGTTGTGAACAATAAGATTTAAATAATTAAAAAGAAAAAATTTGACATTTATTACAAATTTCTATTTCATATACTTTTAATGTAGTAAAATGATGACCTTTTGTATATTTAGTATAGTTGATTTCAAAATTTTTAAAATGACTTTTGTGATTAACAGGTTTTATGGAGATTGGTCCATAAATAAAGTCAATTCGGAGAAAGGAAGTATGTTTAACGAGCGATCTGGAGATTCTCCCGATACCACAGATTCGGACGAAGGCAAGGATTTTTCTGGAAAGCCGAGAGGTCTGGTGGGTTTGCAGAATATCGGTAACACGTGTTACATGAACGCGGCGCTGCAAGCTCTGTCCAATGTATCCCCTCTGACTCAGTTCTTTTTGGATTGCGGACATATGGTTAGTTATATGTCAAAGGACAGGAAACCGGGACTGAGTCTGAGTTATCTGAATCTTATTCGAGATATGTGGAACAAGAAGACCAGAGGATACGTTGTGCCACATGGTATCCTCTCCGGTATCAGAACGGTTCATCCCATGTTCAGAGGTTATCATCAGCATGACACTCAGGAATTTCTGAGATGCTTCATGGATCAGCTGCACGAGGAGCTGAAAGAGCACGTCGAGGACAAAGAGGCCCAGTTGCGGCTGAAGGGACTGGGTGATCATTCTTCGGAGGAAGAAGAGGACGAGACCGAGATGGATGGCAACGCCTCTAGTCAATCCGACGCCGAGTACGAGACCTGCGACTCCGGTGTGAGCGAACAGAGCTCTCTGAGTGACGAGGGCGAGCGCGGCACGAAGAGACGTTACTCGCGCGTGGCGCAAACGGAGAAGCTTCGAAACAAATTCACCAACAGGAGCATAAAGAAGTCGAACGTCGAGTCGTTCGCGCCTCCGCAGCGTTCACCGCAGAGTTCACCGACCAAACATCGTACCAAGAAGCAAATGAAGACGCGAAGCATTATCAGCGACACGTTCGACGGCAAGCTTTTAAGCAGCGTGCAGTGCCTGACGTGCGATAGGATTTCTACTCGAGTGGAAACCTTTCAGGACTTGTCTCTGCCTATTCCGAGTAGGGATCACATCGACATGTTGCATCAGGGCTCGCTGACCCCGCAAAAGGCCGGCCCGTGCTCGGACGTAGTCTACGTCACCAATCAATCGGGATGGCTGTCATGGTTTCTGCAGTGGATGCGCTCGTGGTTCTGGGGGCCTGTAGTCAGTCTGCACGACTGTCTCTCCGCGTTCTTCAGCGCTGACGAGCTCAAGGGCGACAATATGTACAGCTGCGAGAAGTGCAACAAGCTGCGCAATGGCATCAAGTTCTCCAAGGTTCTGGAGCTACCTGAGATATTGTGCATACACTTGAAGCGATTCCGCCACGAGTTGATGTTCAGCTCCAAGATTGCCAACTACGTGTCGTTCCCTCTCGAAGGTCTCGACATGCGACCGTATCTGCACAAGGAGTGCGTGTCCAAGGTCACGACTTACAACCTAATATCGGTCATTTGTCACCACGGCACCGCCGGCGGCGGTCATTACACCTGCTACGCGTTGAATCCCATTACGAACAAGTGGTACGAGTTCGACGATCAGTGCGTCACGGAAGTTTCGCCGGAAACGGTGAAGCATTGCGAGGCGTACGTGCTGTTTTACAAGAAATGGTCGCCGGACATGCTGCAGCTACGCGACAAGACTATGGAACTGATGGAGATCTCGTCCCGCGAGCTGTCCGACCTCAACTTCTTCGTGTCACGGCAGTGGATCAATCGCTTCAACACATTCGCCGAGCCTGGCCCGATCGACAACTCGGACTTTTTGTGTCCGCACGGCGGAGTGAATCCCGTCAGAGCGCAATTTGTCGACAAGCTCAGTATTCCTATACCCCAATCGGTTTGGGAATACTTGTATAACGCGTAAGTTTTCCTCGACACTTTGATATTAAGTGTAATTTTTCTGTGCGTATACGTGTACGCATATTTATTTCTTATCTCAGATTTGGAGGTGGGCCAGCATGTACCCACTTGTTCGAGTGTCCGACCTGCGAGGAAAAATACGAGTCCTTGCAGAAACGCAGACAGTACGAAATGGAACTGTTCCAACGACTCAATCACACTACCGACAATCACACGGCCATTTACGCGTTAGCCATGGCGTGGCTGAGACAGTGGCAGAGCTTTGTCAGAGGCAAAGAGACACAACCGCCTGGACCAATCGATAATAATTCCATCGTTGTAAATAAAAACGGACAAATTAGTCTTAAAACTGGTACGTTTCCGCTTGAGTTTGTTCGAGTTTGTACATCGTCAGGCGTTACGAGAGAAATTGCAATGTTGCATCACTTGATTTGTTATCTACAGGTTCGGATTACGGTCAGATACCCGAGGAGCTGTGGCAGTTTTTCCTAAATACGTACGGCGGTGGGCCGGAACTGATGCTGCACTCGTGTCAACGGCCGGTGCCCGTTCAGCCTAACGTTTCTATACATTCCGCGTCGAATCCGAATCTGATCGACACAAGCACACACAAGTGTAACCGCGTAGAAGCTAACAAATGCAATAAACTCTGTACGACCAGGAGCACGGAAACGATCTCGCAACAGGACAGTGTGATCGAGAGCCTAATATCGAGCAGCGACTCCCATCAGACGCAGAGGGACGTGAGCGAGTGAGTAAGCCGCGCGAATTGCGTTTTCGCGACATCTCCGGTTTCCACCGCACGACGAAGCAACGCATTTCCATTGGTTTCTCTTAAGTTTTAGTTGTTAAGCAATCTATTTATAGGAATTTATTCTATTATCGCGAAATTCCACGTGTTCGCGCTCGAATGGAACAGCTTTTGCGCTTTTCCGTAAAGAGCTTGTTGCGGGCAGAAATTTTTCGTACACCTTGTAAGTGTAAAATAATCACTGTCATTTTGTGTGGAGAGAGGCAATGAATTTTGTGACTGTCACGCGCCAATTTCGTCGTCTAATGCGAAGAAGACACATATGTACCAACCGTATTTTGAAGAAACTGAACAGGCGAAATGTTGATATTGATTTCGCTGCGTGTGAAAAAGATTGTGTGCAAGGTGTTACTTTATACGGCCATCCTCTCTGCGGTGTGTTCTGGCATATTCTCTCCGTCGTACTGATCTCTCGTAGGAAAAGACGAGGGCGAACAACAGACGGATCTGCTCGCTCTGCTCGCACCTTTCGCGCTTTATTTCGTTTTCCTTTTCTTACCAAAGTATGAACATACGTCTAAGTGCAAAGAAGTTGCAAGAAGTGGAAGCACCGCGAGCGGATCAATTGTGGATGGACCAAGTTAATTGATAATAGCTAAATTAATCGCAAAAGTCGATGACCAAGTCCGACATACGTTCGGTTGCTCCTCGAGCGCAACACACACATGCATACGCAAGTTTCTTTTCTTCCGTTCCGTTTTCGAATCAACATTTTCGGAAACCGAAATGACATTGGTCGTTTTGAGCTCGAAAAATTGCTGTGCACCGCTTAATTCTGGTAAAATTTCGTTCAGCGACGTGGAATTTCACATCTTCTTTCGTACACTTTTTTCTTTTTCGACGGAAAAAAAAAAAAAATTATCGCATACGATAGGGGAAGAAGAAAAAAAACAATAGTAGTTTACATGTGTAATAGTACAAAGGAAATTCGCTATAGACGACCACGTTACTACGTTAATTGAAATACAAATCTCTAGCTCGTATTTTTCTCGCCCAAAGTCTAGACCGTATTTAAAAACACCGTGCAATTTCGATATTATATTATAATAATATTAATAGAATCACATTTTTTCGATGTGTTTGTACATACGCCGTGAATGTCGGTGTGTGCGTGTGCGCGCGCGCGCGTGTGTGTATTGTATTTCTCCTGCGCATAAAGACAACAAAAAGAAAAAAAAAAAACACAAGTCAGTATTCTCTTAATTCGTTTTTAAAAAAAAGTGTGTGTTCTGTACATATAACATCGTTGATTGTTTTTCGTTTAATAATAGAAGGGGGGATAGAGTCTTCTCGTGGGAGGGGGGGAAAAAATTAATTACTAAACAAAAAACAAAACACGTGCAAAGACTGACAAATCACTTTTAACTTAAAACACGGAAACACATTCAGTTAACTATGCAATCTTACAACGTACGCGCTTAGTTACAAAAAATCGAGTGTAAGCGATGATGCGAGAGAGAGGGAGAGAAAGAGAGAGAGAGAAAGAAAGAGAAAGAAAGAGGAATTTTTTCGTCAATACTATCTCTGATACTTGATTTTTGAGCGAGGCAAATTATTGTTACTGTTGTTATCATTGTTTCAGTAAACTTTCACAATTTTTTAAATAATCTTTCCGCACTCGGCCGCACGTGTGTGAGGCTGAAAGCTTACAACGGATGTGTGAAAGCTTACAACGTGACGTTCTTTTCAGCAGGCGATACCGCAGAGCAGTTGACCTATGCGATTAAAACACACACGGTTAAAGCAAAGACAACTTTGTATTTGCTTCTGTTGTTTCTAATCTGCGACTCAATATTAATTTCGTGAATTCGAGCGTTTCTGGTCGTTACTTTTTACGCTGCTGTTCCACAGAAAAATTGAATTAATCATCGATAACAAAAACCGACTTATCGGAACTATCAATGTTGCGAGACCAGTTCGAGATCCCTCCGGATCCATCGATATATATATTGATTCGCCGTCACTTCTCCCGTCCCTAAAAAAAAAAGTTAACTACATGGTTCAACTGCTTCTTGCGCGCGCGCGCGAAAAAAACGAAAAGAATTTGCATGTTACGAGCTTTCTTCGTAAGCTCAAATTGTGTTTTCGTGAGTTCTATCTTGTTACTTCAGAATATTTATATATATATATATTTGTCCGTTTACATTTATAGCGCGGGTGTTTGATTTTATAACGCGATGTCACGATTGCGTGTCTATTGCGATAAGATGAGAAGAAAAAGAGAAAGAAGAAGAAACGCAGTGAGAAGGGTCAAGTTCCATTCGCGGAGGGGACGCAAACAATTGTAAAGAATTGTTAAAGACTAATTCTCTATAGAATATTCGCTATCCGATGTGCATAAGGATAAGGTAATATAAACATAAGTTGGTCTCTTTATTTATTGAATCCTCGACTACTTTTCTCAGAAATAAAATAAAAAGAAAAAAAAAACTTTGCGCGTTGAGTTTCTCTCACTAGAAAATTCCTCATATATATATATATCCTGTCGTTAATTGTCCTTTTTTGCACAACGAGCGATCGATTCTTATTAAATTAAAAATGCCGAGTCAAATTCGCGTGTATTTGCTTGTGTATTTTTTTTTTTTACGTAACATTTTTTCGAAGAGACGCGCGAGTTTTTAACTTGACTCTCTTTCGGGAGAAAGAAGAAACGGGATGCGCGAACACGCGGGATACGCGCGAGATGCGTGCACGACGTCTCTCTCTCTCTCCCTCCTCGCGGTCCATCGATCGAATCCTGCGCATTCGGGGGAGGCTGGCCATATTATTTTCCCCGATCTCCCGATCTTTCCCTCGGCGCCGCCGTGTGTTCCCGCTGTGTGTGTGCTGGTGGTCGATGCCGCAGATCGAGGGCCTCGCCGCGATTTTTGCCACGCAAATCGCGGTGTAGATTTTCAGAGAGAAGAGCGAAAACAACATCGGGGGCCCGTAATCATGCGGCTCAGTTAGGCGGTCTCTGGTCATTTCATCACACGTCCTTTTCCACCCTTTTCGTCCCTTCACCTTCATGAAGCCTCGCTTACGACCGAGGTCGTTTTTAATTTAATTTCGCCTCCACGTCGGTGCCGTTCGTCGGATTGCGCCGCGAGAAAGGACAGGAAATTGGGATCTCTCTAGGAGGAACGAGCGGAGGACTCGAGGATTCGCCCACCTGGTAAGCGCAATTTTCTTTCTCCCATTGATAATCGTTAAATGTACATCGAGACGTTCGGACGGACTCAGCGCAATGCAATTTCGTCGCGTCTCTCTCTTTCTTTTTATGTCCCACAGCGAAAAGAAATCAGATCCATCCGATGTCACGTTCGAAATCACAACGGTCACCATTTTGTTCGTATTTCGCAGTTTTTGTTTCAGTCTCTTCTTGTTATTTACGCGATCCGTCTAAAACAATTTGCTTTTATAGATGATCCGTTTCTGTCCCTCAAGAATAACTCTATCACCACAGTGTATGTTTCTTGTGTGTGTGTGTGTGTTTGTGTGAAAAAGAATCACCTTTGTAAGGAGTTCACAAAGTGAACTTCTTGTCGCCGTAGAAGCAACAGATAGGAGGAAATGGCAAATTTTCGTGGGTTTTACATACCGTCCCTGGGAGCGACGATCAACGTCGCCTGGGAGACTCTGAAAGCGAAGTGGCCGGAGAACAGCCCGTGCGTGGAGCTGTTACGCAGCGGCGGTATGAGCGGCATGGGGCGTCCTCAGGCCCAGGACGATCAGGGCCAATTCAAGTCGTTCGACGAGGGCCGCGACAACACCGAGATGATGACCATGAACGGGGACCAGGCGTATCGGGATCAGAATAACGTGGCGGTCGCCGAGGACTCGTTCAGCTATCAGAGAAACGGGTAAAGTTCGTCATCACGTCGGCGACAATCAATCACTTCGTTTTTAATTGATCGCGACGATTTCGAACGGATCGTTTTCAGGGATAAGGTTCGAACCGGAAGCGTGAGCAGCGGGGAGTTCAGCGAGTACGACGAGGGCGGTGGAGAATTCGGCAGTCCGGGAGTTAAGATCAACGAGTGGCAAGCCGCCTGGAACGTTACAAATGCCATTCAGGTACGGAGAAAGTGGAATTCCCAGTGAAATTATTTTCCCGAGAATTTCTTATGTTACATAAGTATCGAAATTAATAATAATTACGATATAACATAAAAATGTTAAAAGAACTATAATATACCAATTAATTTGTGTTTTTCTGCTAATTATCTAAATGCGCTGCTTTCTTCGCAACTTGTTCAGGGAATGTTCATCGTCAACTTGCCGTTCGCCGTTCTGCGCGGCGGTTACTGGGCGATCGTAGCGATGATCGGGATCGCGTACATCTGCTGTTACACCGGCAAGATCCTGGTCGAGTGTCTGTACGAGCTGGACTCGGTGACGGGTCAGCGTGTGCGCGTACGGGACTCGTACGTGGCGATCGCGAAGGAGTGCTTCGGGCCGAGATGGGGCGCTCGCGCCGTCAACATCGCGCAGATCATCGAACTGCTGATGACCTGCATCCTGTACGTGGTCGTGTGCGGCGACCTGATGATCGGCTCGTATCCCGAGGGCGCGATCGACGTACGCAGCTGGATGATGCTAGTCGGCATATTCCTGCTGCCGCTCGGCTTCCTAAAGTCGCTTCAGCATGTCTCAATGCTGAGCTTCTGGTGTACGATGTCCCATCTTCTCATCAACGCGGTCATCATCGGTTACTGTATCCTCGAGATCGGTGACTGGGGATGGTCGAAGGTGAGGTGGACAATCGACATGAAGAAGTTCCCAATCTCGCTCGGCGTGATCGTTTTCAGTTACACATCGCAGATCTTTCTGCCGACCCTCGAGGGCAATCTCATCGATCGCTCAATGTTCGACTACATGCTGAACTGGAGCCACATCGCCGCGGCCGCGTTCAAGTCGATCTTCGGCTGGATCTGCTTCATGACCTTCCAGAACGACACGCAGCAGGTGATCACGAACAATCTGCACTCGGTCACTTTCAAGGCCATGGTGAATCTGTGCCTGGTCATCAAGGCGGTGCTCTCCTACCCGCTGCCATATTACGCGGCTTGCGAGCTGCTCGAGCGCGCGTTCTTCCGCGGCCGACCGAAGACGATCTTCCCGACCATCTGGACGGTCGATCACGAGCTGAAGGTCTGGGGCCTCGCCTGGCGAGTCGGCGTGATCGTGTTCACCATACTGATGGCGATCTTCATACCGCACTTCAGCATACTGATGGGTTTCATCGGTTCGTTCACCGGCACCATGCTGTCTTTCATCTGGCCTTGCTACTTCCATCTGAAACTGAAAAGGAACTCGATGGAATGGAGCGCCGTCGCGTACGACTGCTTTGTCATCTTTCTCGGTATTCTCTTCGGCGTGATCGGCGTCTACGATTCCGGTACCGCGCTGATCGACGCCTTCCAGATCGGCCTGCCTTTCTGAACGGTCTCCCGTAGACAGCCAGACCGTTCCGTTATTGTTCTTGTCTTATACCAAAATGATATTACAGAGAAATTGCCCACGAGCCGTCGAAGTAGCCGACCCTCGACCTTACCATGTTGCTCGATATTACGCAATACTTGCTAACGCATGCGGAAGACCACATCTGGATCCCTGAAGCGGTAAGCTAAAAAAACAAACACCTGCTTTAGGAAATTTCTCAGTAAAAAAAAAAAAAAAAAAAAAAAACTTAGGAATTCTCTGGAGTAATCAGTTCACTAGTCTGTACGGAATTACGTTTTGAACTTGCGTTTTACAGAGAATTGTGTAAAAAAAAAAAAAATGTATATCAATGTGCGCGCGTAAACATATCTGATGAGAAAACCTTGAGATCGTCCGCCCGATGATTTGTTTCGCATTCGCGAGCTGATGTCTTCCTCCTAAAATGTCTTCCAAGATGCAGCGGCAGAGCGCAGCCTCTATTAAACTAGTTGAACTATACTGTTACAGTTTTTTGGATTTTATAATTGTATTTGCGGTGTGCGATGAGACGCCACCCGTGTATGAGTTTCAAGTCGACGCGTCGAGAATTGGGAGACAACGACGACGACGTTCGGCGCGCCGATCGATCTCGAGTTCGTCGCTTTGCGTTTCGGATCGATGATAAATCTGACCGGAGGAGCGATCCGACGCGCCGCCGTCCTGTCGCCGTGTACAAAACGAGACGCGAGAAACGAACAGTTTTACCGAGTACAATTAGTTGTATAATCCAACGTCTTCCAAGATCGCATAGATCGCACACACACGTTAGAGTCTAAGAAGAATTAGATTTACGTAGCCACGTTCCACGTGTTTGCGGAATGCCGCGACGATGTGGCTCATAGAAGAGCGAAATTTCTCGGATTTTTAAGAAAAAAACGCGAATCCTCAAGACAATAAATTAAATAAATAAGTTCGAACAGCGTGGGGATTCTCGATTTTGTTATTAAATTGTTTTCGGAACATTTTTGAATTCACAGATATAATATAATTCTTACGCGAATGTGCGGATATTTTGTACATATCACGAATTGTAGTGTCTTTTTTTTTCTCTTTTTTATTTCTCTCGGAGAGCCGTTCGCGTGCGTTTCCGCAAACGTGGAAAATTCGTAAAGCGCGAGACCTAAAGCGCGCATTAAATAAAAATAATCGTGAAACGAGTCTTCCACTAATGTCTTCCAGAAACAAAGAGATGTTGCAGAAAATAATATAAACTATTATATATATATATATATATATACATATGATGATGATGTATTACTATTTATTGAGCAAGGCGCATCTTTGTCGAATTAAGCGTTAAACAATTGAGAGTTGTAGACGTTAAGCGTTAACTCGTAAGGTTTACGATCATTACGCATTAAAAAAAAAAAAAAGAATAAAAAAATTGATGTTTCATATTCGGTGAATATATCAATGACACATACACACACACACACACATAACTGTAAGTAAACTCATGCTGTTTATAAAGAAAAAAAAAGAATCAAATTTAGATCGTTAACAAGGGGATCATCTTACTTCTTTGTATCAACAATAATTACGCAGAGTGATTGAATGAGATAATTAAATTGTAATTGGAACTTTCTTTTCGTGGTCGAAATTTTTTTCTCTTCGGTGAGCGATACAAGAAAATTCACGAAAAAGTCTTTTGTCCAAAAAAAAGACAAAAAAAAACAAAATAAAGTAAAATTCACAATTTTGCTTTGTTTCAATTTCGTCGAGATCTCAGCCCGAGAGAAACTAAAGCGAAGAAAAATTCAAAAGAACGAGATCGCTGACCCGATGAACAAAATTGAACCGCCACGAAGAGACAATCCCGAGAAGACGCTGATGATGATTGCAATCTTAAATGTGAAACGAGAATATAGGCTTATATACAAAATGCTTTCTCCAGAAATATCCATATTTTGTGGCGTTTCGGGACGAGCGGAACCTCATCAGTGTTGTGTAGACAGAAATATACCTTATTAAACGTTATAAACTGATGTAAAGCGGCATCCGTACTATGAGAAAACGCATTAATCCGTATGAGTATATGGAAGAAATTGAAAATATATTAACAAAATTTTATGAAAAGCTCTTACATCTCTCATTTCGTCCGAACCAACTGGAATCCCAAAATGGGAGCTCGCCATTCATCACTTCACACTACCGAGCAATGAATTATTACCCTCGCTCTCTTTTGAAAAGAACCCGATATGTGGCAATCGTTTATCCTTTCCATGCAACTTGAGTTCATTTTTTTTCACAGATTTTCGCTTCGCACTTTATAGACATTTTCTAAAAAAGGGATGAAGGATCTTGGTGGTGGCGAACATTTTATCCAAACAGTTCAATTTATTAACAATGCTTTATTATTTGTTTTCTTTTTTACATATTAGAATATGCTAATTAGAAATGCACAAAACCTATGGCTGAAAATAATAGTTTATTTAGAAGGCTTGGTACTGAGTATGGCAACGCCTTGGACTCTCCCTTGAGATATTAGACCAATCGAATCATCAGTGAACAATTTTTCTTTAAGTAGAAAAAATGTAAGACAGTTGAGTTTTGAGAAAAATCTATAAAACGTTAAGTCAAAGTTTTTTCGGAAAAGGGAAACTCTCTTACAATTGTTACACTAGTCTCTAATTCGAGAGTTCTTTTTCAGGCTTCCTGTCCTAGTATATAAAATACATAAAAACAAAACAAAACGCGGGGAGATCATTAATCTGAATATGTATGTGTGTGAGCGTGTAACGCTGTCTACATAACCGTTCCTCCCACACTTGCTTTTCACATTGATCCAATTACGTTTAAATTATTCACCGACGCGCGAATTCAGTCCATAAAAACGCATAAAAAAACAAGCCTCTAAAAATAATATCAACGAATCACAAAAAAGCAACGAGAAAAAAGAACAAAAATAATAATTAAAAAAACAACTAATATATATATATATATTATGCGATATGTGTGAAAAAAAGTATAAATAAATATATATCTATATAAATATATGTAAACTGTAAACATGAACAGCACTGTCAAATCAAAGTTTGGCTCGAATGTAATTGTCACTGAATTACATCTAGTTAGAATATTTTTGTTAATAATATTTGTATATATCTCACATAGTAGAACATTTTTGTTAATAATTTGGAACATCCCGTTTTCTTCTCTCCTTTTATTTTTCCGTGCCAATTATAAAAATATTCTTTTGATTGTCACTTTTCTCAAATGAGTGTTTTTTTTTCTTTTNTTTTNTTTTTTTTTTTTTTTTNTTTTTTTTTNTTTTTTTTTTATTCTTTTTCGCGTTTCAACGCGAAAACGCAGAACAAGAAGTTGGGCGTCTTCTTCCGGAGCAACAGTTAAACACATGACTATTCTGTGTCTATCGTTTACAAAAAGCGATTGTGCTTCTAAACGCAAAAAGTTGATTTTGTGCACGATATATGGATATACTCGTGTAGGAATCAAATCGCTTTCTCTCATGTCTCTCTTGTCTTCGGAGAAACGGCGTCGAGATAATAATAATAATAATAATAATATAATTCACAATAAACTTAAATAAAACGCAGTATACAACAGAGTATAAAAGTTCTGAAATCAACAAGAAAAAAACTATATATTATTAAATGTGTATCGTTATTTGGCGGACTTAGCGATCGTACACACGTATATGTAACAGATCTCTCTCGAGAAGTCTCTTTCCTTCAAAACGAAAAAATAAAAACTTTGTTACCGACTATCAATTAGTTCATCAAATTACAATTAAATATCTTCAACTCGTATATCGTCATAAAAAATTGACTTTTGAAATATATATATACATATATATCACGCCTCTCGCTATTTTTTTTTTTTTTTTAACAGGTATTTATAAACGCGCTCTGCTCTCTCTCGTCGATTCATTTCTGTTTAACTCACAGTCAACTTCGTAACATTTCACGTATTGCATATCTCTTGTCAATTTTTTTTTCTTTTTTTTTTCAACTATTCTTCAACTTTATTATTTCGTATTTTTGAAAAAGCTCCCTTTGATAAATATTTATAAAAACGTATAAACGATTGTGATTTGTGGTCACATATTCGCGGATTACTTATAAGTTTTTGCAAATATTTACTGCGCTTTTTCGTTCGCACGCACCTCCTCTTCCTTCGAAGATTCCGCCGCGGCGGCGGCGGCGGCGTCGTCGTCATTCGTGGCGTTATCTTTCTTCTTCTCATTGTCATTGGTGTCGTCGTTACTTATGCGCGCCGCGCATAAGGAAACCTCGTCAACGAGTTCTGTTACACTCCGCTTGTCGCGGGTGTTCGCCTCGTCGGTTGTGGCGTCGATCTCACCGTTCGCGACTTCCAATTCATTTTTCTCTTCTTCTGCCGCAGCAGGTGTATCGATTGGAGCCGCGACTTCGTCCGTCTCTTTCTCCGGGCTCTTTGTATCACATTTGACATCGTTAGTTTGCTCGCTATCACAGTTATTGCTTATTATTTCGTCAATCTGCTCTTTCTCAACCGGTACGTCCCGATTTTTATCATCATTTCTCGTCGTTTTCGTGCTAGACTCGGCGCATGAGTTTTCCACAAAATTGATCATCTCACTCTTATTATCGTCAACATCCTTCGTTGACGATGAATCAGCGACCTTCTCCGATTCCTTGTTTGCTTCACTTCTTTCAGTTTCCGCCTCGACTTTGGACTCGGACAAGTCCGAATCCCGCGAGACGTCTTTGTTCGCGCAAACAACTTCATTATGCTCATGATTTTCTTCATTCGCGCACAAATCCGAAGCGGTTTTTGCTTCGATTTTGGACTCGGATGAGTCCGAGTTCTGCGAGACATCCGTGTTCGCTTGAGCTTCGTTTTTCTCATCCGCGTGTAAACTCGCATTGTTCGGATCGTTCTCATTGCTCTCCGCGCCCGTGTCGTTCGCGTCGAGCTTGTCCGAAGTAACATTGATTTTCTCGTCGTTCACAACCTCATTGTCTTCCAATTTTTCAGTATTTTCCTCGTTTTTGACCTGATCATGCGCGTGCGATTTGTTCTTTTGCACCAATTCCGTCTCGTGGCGCTTATGCGGACTCTCCGCGGAATTCTCCCTTTTGATCTCTTTCTTGTGGAAGTACGGGGACTTGTTGCCGAAGTCTTTTCTCCGCGGCGGAGGTTGCGACTTGCGCGAGTTAACCGAGTTTTGCGAATTGTCGTGATAAATACCTTTGGTCTTGTCCTCGTACGATTTCTGACGTGAAAATGGCTCGTTATCGGTTACCTCAACGTCCGAGTGACTGCTGTACGTCAAGCGACTTCTTTGCCGCGGCCCGACTCGGCCCGTTCCGGCGATACTCGGCGAGTTCACTGCAACAATTGTCGAGAGAAATTAATTTTCTTTACAAAAACCCGTCAACTGTAAACTCGTCAAGTACCTTTCACACTCATGAGCGAGCCCTTCGTCATGTTACCCTGGTTGAGCGTGACCTTTATGCTTTTGTCAGTGGCGACGACAGTTCTCTCCTCGGGACCGGGGTTCTTGGCATGTCCGTCGTGATGATACGTGTTATTGGAACGATTTTCATAATTGTTATGAAAACGTTTCGCGTTCCCTCGATAAGAACGATGATTACCGCGATTGTGATTTGCGTAATCATTGCCTAAAAACGAAAACAGAATTCGCACATATATTCAACAACCGGGTCGTAATTCCACTCTCGATTTCTTCGCGTTCAAAGCGGAGCTTTTCACCAGATTCTCACCATTAACGTAGTATCTTCTATCGTGATCTTTGTAATCCTTCTTTACATAATCCCCCAATTTGGTCTCGGATCTTGTCACCTCGTCCACAATATGCGCCTGCAATAATTAACACATCAATGTGCAATTTGCAACGTCGCAATCTATTGTTTCTCACGGTCGCATGCGTAACACGCTGTCTTTGTTGTTTTACTGGATGCAACTCCTTACCTTGTCGTTGTCCCATTCCCGACGCCAATTACCCTCCGCCGTTCTCTGTCTGCTGATGCGATCTTCGTCGATGCGATTTCTCTCCGCTCTCCAAGCCTCGTATTCCGGCTGATGCTCGTCTCTGTGCGAGCCTCTGTTCGTTCTGTAGTCCTTTTTAAGGATACAGAGGTTAATATTTCAGAGTCTGTTAATCACAGGCGATTAAACAAATATTTTTTTTTTAGCACTCGTTACGCACTCTCTGCATTCCATCCTTCCCCCCAGGTTTTCTTTTAAACGTGCCCTTCGAATTCTTCTGCCCCTTGGTTGGCAAAGTGTCTTTCACATTTTCCACAACGCCTTCCTCTCTCTCGGCATCGGCAAGAAAATTGTATTTGGGATCGGGTGGAGGTCCCTGTCCCTGCAACAAAGTCAATCTTCGTTGGAAAAGAAACAGACAGCAAAATAAATTAGCAATTGCGATATGTTTTTTCTGTACACCTGAGCAAAGGTGTGACTCTTTCTTCCTTCGCCGCTCGCGGAGTGATACTGGTGGTGAGGATGTTCGTGATGCTCTTTGGCAGGTTTCGACTTGTTGTTCGTCCGAGGCGGATTGGAAAATTCCGGCGGTTCTTTTCTCTCAGGCCAGTCAGTGGACGGTACCATTTGTACCAACGCGTTCAACTTAGCTGCTTTCTTCTTATCCTCCTCCACTTCCTACGAGAGAGCGCGAGTTTATTTACTTCTGTAAAATAAATTACTGATTAATCATCTTGCGATTCTCCTCTCACCTCGTGTCTCCTTCTAATTTCCTCATTCTGTTGCCTTATCTTGTTAATTTTTTCCTCAAGTGCACTAGCTGCCATCTGTAATGTCAACACTTGTGTGAATTAGTAAATAAAGTCATCAACGCGATGTTAAATTCGATAACAATCTTCTCGAGCTGTTGTCGAAAGTTTTCTTTTAAAACTGACTGACATTTTTTTTTATTGTGACACACAATAAAGAAGAAAAAAAAAACAGTTACATTTGTACAACAGTCACAAATCCAACAACTCGCGCGGTACGCGCGATTCGTGTCACGTTTTCCTGTCACGTAGCGGGAGGAATGTCACTTCCGAATTCTCCTCTACATAAATAACCGTCGAGTAACTGACCTCGGTCACGGACGAATCACGGACGAATCTCAGTTATCTCGTCGAAGTGGAAAAAAAAAAAAAGAAAAAAGAGATCTCATCGCAACCCTAATCCCGTCACCCTGATCGTCCGCAACGCAAAAAGTCTCATCCGGCTTATCATTTCCTCCTCCGCGGTGCGCCGAAATTTGTCGCACGGCGATAAAAAAAAAAAAAAAAAAACTTCGAAAACTTCCGCTCCGACAAAAGAGATCAAGTTTTGACGAGATGTTTGTCGAAACATCTCCGCGAACATCGCGCGACAACGACGGCGACGGCGACGACGACGACGACGACGATACCGTTACCGGGGAGGATTTTTATTGCGCGAAATTCTACAGCCTCGGGGCGGCCGTGCACCAAATAGATGGCCGAACACGACGTAAAGAGACGAGAGACGAATCCGCACGGCGTGAGACGCGATCGGAAAGTTAATCGCGCAAGAAGGAGTAAATATAACATACGATACGGCCGGACGTGGAGTTGCTGGTCGGAGCGACGAGACACTGGGAGTTCAGAACATCAGAAGAGATCGAACGGTTATGTCAGATGCAGGTGGATGCGGGAAACACGCACTGTGTAACCGCGATTGGAGCAATCTGTCACTTCTTGCGCAACGCGCGCGCTACTTCGTGCGACTTCGCGCATCAGAATAATCGTTCGCAGGGACTTTCGACTAGGGGAATCTGGAGACTTTGGTTTTTTTTTTTTTTTTCAGATTGACAACATGCTTCTCACTCGACATGGCGGAACCAATCGCGCAATATTCAAAAGTAGATGCAACATAGAACAGCGAAAGTAGCGAAAAGAGGATTTTTTTTTTTTCACGAAATAGAAATTAATGTATGTTTTTTTAAATAAACGCAAATTGTTAAGTGAACAAAACCGCACGTAAAGCGAAAACAGAAGAATGTTCCGAATAGAAGCGAAATTGCTTTTGACGTTTGTAGAAACAGTTTTTTATATGCAAATCTTGCGATCATTCGAAGCGTATCGCACGCGTGACATAATATTTTATAAATAAAACCGCGGCAACACACACGCGTGTGTGTCGTATGTTATGTACGTCAAGTGAGTTATTCACGTAAACTGTCACTTGCGAAATTTGAAGATTTGTAAGAACTCTCTCTCTCCCACCCGCGGATTTCTAACCTTTTTCGTAGACAGTTCCATGGTTTTTTTCATTAGCTTTTTTTCACGCACGAGTGTTCACGTTGTCTTTATTTCTTCACCGTAAATGTTCTTCTCTCCGAGAGAGTTGTGTTTACGTGTGTGTCTCGCGTCACATTATAAACAAACATTACCTCGAGGTTTCCCCCCCACGGTTTAGCTCGTCGACGTCAAATCACACACACACATCTGAACGTTAACCAAAACAACAATTGACCTTGACGTTCTGTTCCAACTCAGAATCCTCAGTATTATGTGCCAGAAATCATCGACGAACATCGAGAGTAGTCTCGGTAATTGCTTATCATGACGAACGAAAATAACGCGTGGTGCGAACTGGCGCATGTAGAAGCGGCGGATCCCCCTGTAACGAGAGACTTATGTAAACAATGCGAGTGAGTGTGACATAAGAAGATCAGACGGAGCGATTTTTTTAAATCGCGCAAAAATCCAATTTAACAAATTGCAGAACTCTGTAATTAATCAATCTCACGCGACGAGACATGTTTAAAACGTATTATTCCGTTGTAGGAGGCCGATGACAGTATGTTGGTGTCCGGGTTTGCCGAAGCGACGCATCAATCCGGCGTCCAGAATCATAATTTTGCAACATCCGGCGGAGGCTAAGCGCTGTTTGCGCACAGCGCCGATGCTTACCTTAGCATTAGAATCGGGAAAGTGCCTAATCTTCAGGTGTGAGAAAGAACGCTGAACTAATTTAAATCTTTTTTTTGCAAGTGTGCGACTGTCTGTCTTTCAGGGGGAAAAAGTTCCCATTGCCTAAGCACGAGGGTCTAGCAGAGATATTGGAAGATGTAAACACTATTTTATTATATCCGTCTGGTGGAGCGGTTACTCTGGACACACTGAATCCAGTAGGCATTAACGAACAAAAGCCATACAACTTGATCCTGTTGGACGGAACATGGCCGCAAGCAAAAGCAAGTTTATCAATGTGACTTCAACAAGTTTGTGCATATTAACACTTCGATCAGCTTTAAATAACAATTTGAATTTTTACATAAAGTATAGAGAAGAAAGAAAAGAGAAAAGCAGAAGAAAAAAATCATTAATTTAATCAAAATAAATTATCCTTTGATGTATATATGACATAATTTTGCAGGCTATATATCATTCAAGTCCAGCTTTAAGCTTGCTGCCAGCCTGCAAGTTGATCGGCATGCCCACTAGTCAGTATGTGATCAGAACGCAGCCAACCAAGGGTTGTCTTTCGACACTAGAGACAGGTGCAAACGCCCTCTCTATTTTAGAATGCGATCCCCAATTGAAAGACGAGCTGCTGGGTCCGTTGCATTATTTATGTAGGCGAGTATCAACGCGCGCATGAACGTAAAAAAAAAATTAACAATCCTTTTATATGAAGAAACACATCAAATTTTTTACTTTTAGGTTTCAATTAGAAAACGGTGCTATGACTCATCAAAGTAAGGAATTTCTCATAAAACAAAACGCTTATCCGAAACTGATCGGTAAGAGGCTCGCCAAACAATTACGCATATTCCCGGAGTCTAATTCTACCTCAACATAACATTACAACATCCTAGCTCAATGAAACAAGGAACAAGAGAACATATTTCTTATAGGATTCGACGAAGTTTAAAATGTGTAATTTTCTAACTGATTTTAGAAAAAAAAAAAAAATTACGGAGAAAAACACAAACGTTGACAAACAACAACGTTTGTGACATTTTCTTCTTTTGGAAACGTCTTATTTTATCTCTTTGAAATAAAATATCGAACACATTCTTTTAATCCGGTTTTCACAAATTTTATTGCCTATTTTCTGAGAACACATAAAGTTACCTTGATATAATCGCGACATCGCGAACTCGATAAAGCGAGCTCGTCAGATATTGTGTGTATATAAAATTAGAATTAAAATCTCTTTAAAAAAAAAAAAAAAAAAAACAACAACAAACATATACATCTCGATCAATTTTTCGTCACCTCGCTAAAATCGAATTTCATTTCGCCGTGTCTTATACCGAAGGAAAACGACCACCAAAACAAGTTTTTCCTCGTAACTCTGGACACATTACGAAACAGATGCACGCCCTGCCTGGTGTACGGATCCCAGGACACTTGCTCGCCGGGTATCACTTCTTCAATCGGACCGCACGATACCGGTTTACAATTGAGATGCAAATTCCAATCCACCCACAAAGCGACTCCGTTGCACAGACCGTCTCTGCAAAACGCAAGGAATTCAGATAATTTGTTATTATCGTTTCGAGAGAATAAATGAACAATCTTCGCGTATTTATAAATTCTAAATTATTTTCTTGCTCGCGCGCGTCACGAGAATTCAAGATATATTTACTCTTCGATCGGAACAGCGCCATTCAGTCGAATGTGCTCGTCGAGGTCGATGGTCCGCGAGAGATCGAATCTCGCGATGTCGAACGGCTTGGATAACGCTTTGCAGGAATACTCCCAGAGCGGCTGCGCTTCTATCGGACTGTCACTTTTCTCGCTGGAGTTCTAAAACGAAAATTGTCAATTTTTTTCGATTAACGATTTGAAAAAAAAAAAAAAAGAACATAGCAACCGGCACGAACTTGCACGAGTTCATCGAAGGAGGACAAATCGAAACTCTCGCAAACGCCGAGAGGCGCTCTTATCTTCTGCAAGTCCTTGAACTCGACGAAAAGGCCTCTGATTGTCGCCGCGCACGGCATCCGCCTGATGTGCTCGGGGAGCTTGTACGCGAGGTACCAGAATCGCAGATTCTCCCAGGGCAAGATGGAGCTCAGAAAGTACGGCTCGCCGAAGATCAAATCGAGATCGTTGCAGGTCCCTTTCGGCAGATCGTCGATCGAATCGATGAACGTCACCCGTTCGGAGATGTCGTTCGCCTCCACGAACTTCTCCATCGTCTTGCGCGACAAGAAGTTCTGTTCCAGCAAAAACACCTTCGAACCGCTCTTCGCGAGCGCGAGACCCAGCAGACATCCATCCGAGAAGCAGAGACACACGTCCTTTTTGACGTTGCGCAGAGCTTGTATATATTTGTTATTACGAACTTTGTCGTTCAACTGGCCGATACGCGTCCGCGAGTACGCGATGTGCATGTCGCAGCTGCATATAGGTCTGGGACATTCTGGAACGTCTTTTCTGCGACGAAAAAACAAAACCTTGTTTTAGTTGCAGATTTGTACACAAAAAGTTAAAAAATGCTGACAAAAAAATAATAGAAATGCGTGCACATTTTAATTTCCAAAGAGAGGATGGGCTTACATTGGTTTGTTTAACAATTTGAACCAGAAAGAATACTCGTCGTGGTAGCCGACGAGACTAATATCTTCGTTGCGTCTGATGGGCACCTCCCTCGGCAGATAGTAGACCGCCTGCATCCAGTGGTCTCTCCAAGGTATCAAATCCGCCATCTCCAGCAAACACGATGTGTCTTTTTGACTCTTCACGACGTCGGGGACGTCCGGATGTTCCCATACGGGAGCGCAACTCAGCACTATCTACAACACAGGGTAATTTTGAAGTTTGGATTTTTTAAGGAGGAAAGAACTAATAAAGAGAGAAGATAGACAAGCACTTTTTTTTGTACTCATTTAAAAATCTACAACCACATTAAAGAAAACATACGAGGACGCTTCATCATATATTACCCGATTTTCTTTATCCATGTTCAAATCCCACCACATGAAAATCGCATGCGCGGTCCCGCACGCTATCGATTGCACCTGCAATACAACTTGGTCCTTAAACTGTAACGATTCCTCGTTGGACCAGTCAAATCTGTAGCATATTTTGAACATTGACGTGAAAAAAAAAAAATTAATGCGTTTTATTTGTAAATTCAATTCGTTTACCAGCACCTGAATCATGCAAATTTAATTATTGTATAGAAATAAAACTTCAGAAGGTTTTACTTGAAAATAGGTTGAGGTGGCAGTAAAGCTACGAAACAGTTGGGAGGTAAACGAGACAGCTGCATGTCGTGCACTGCAGCAGCACCGGAGCACGCTTGAACAGCCGACGGAGCATCTAGCTTCAGATCTTTTTCGATCTTGATGGGCTTCACTCGATTCCACGCGTTGACTTTCGAACTCTCGACCACTTGTACCCACACTGTTCCGCTGTGCGGGATGACTATGCAATCTTTCTGATGCCAGAGTGAAAAACGAGTTTGTCATCTCATATCATATCAAGATCAAAATGCAGAGTTAACTTTGTGCTCTTACTTACCTCGAGAAGAGCCTCGTGCGCGTGACGGAACGTTAACAGCGCGCCTTCGCCGATCAATTCCGTGTCGAACACTTCAGTGACTAGAATATTTGCTCTCTTTGGCATGTCGCCGTCCTTGCCAACGGTCATTTTTGTGGAACGTTTGCGAATCAACTTGATTTTATCCGCGAAACCATTCTCTTCTATGATCTGCGCGGCGCAGTTGGCCATCGGTGTGAAAGCCTGCGAAATTTCACCTTTGTAAGTTGAATCAGGAAATGAGCGTCATCACTTTCTCTTACCTCGCATGCCGTTACAGTGTCCGCGCCACACTTAGCTGCCATCATTGCCAGCAATCCAGTTCCAGTGCCTATATCCAGCACATTAGCTTTCTGACCTGTTCTGTGCACATTCTCTATGGCATTTTTCAAGGCGATGTAATACTTTTTGTTCTAAAGAAAAACATGCAAACTATTGTTAATTCCACCAATCAAGGCGGTGTGTTATTAAAGTCACCAGAAGCACTCACACGTTCCTTATCGTGCAGCATATCTGCGAACGCAGATCTGGCTACCTCTTGGTGATAGTCGTAGTGCTCATCTTGCTCCTGCCACGTGGCAATTCCAGTTAAAGGATTCAGACACTGCGTGAATACATTCATATTGCGATTGTGTGTCAAATGTCTTATCAAAGCGACACAATTTCTCCTTAACATAAAAACAGTAAAATACAGGAAGATATGTATGTCAATTTGTACCAATGCTCTTGCCTTATTTCAACTTCTTGTATCTGAAAGAAAACATCTCACACTGTAGATCTTATGATGCTTGAACACCTTCATCGCTTCTAAGAAGCTGGCTATATCCTAAAGAAATTCTTACTGATAATACATAGGACGAGCCACTTTGGACAGCAAAGTCAGTGTGTTCAAGCTGCCGTACAGATCTTGAACTTTCAGCAGTCTATCGGCTACCAATATCACTTTATTACCCTTTTGTTGCAACGTGCCGTAAACTTTGAAGACACGGGATTTTTCCTGGAAAAAAAAAAAACAAAAAAATATTGGAGAAACAGCATTTTACTAGCAAGTTTTTATCATGTTTGTATTTCTTTTTTACTACCCAGAGAAGAATGGAATTTAAATTCGTTTACCCAAATAGGCAGATGCCTTCCCTGCTGGTCGGTGAGGTACACGACGTTCACAGGAAGTGTCTCCAGACTGAGGATAACTGTTGCTTCGCAATCGGGTGAGACACTTCGCAACTCGCAAATTCGCGCCGTACCGGGAACGATCTCGCCGATAGTCTGCACGGTTTTCACGCGATTTACCTCGTAATTGGGCAGTGATGCGTATTGAGAAATCTTCTCGAGCAAAATCGGGATATGAGGAATTTTCGACGGCAGTAAATTTCCACGAATGGCCAAACACGTCGGCCAGGAGACGTTCGAAGTATTCAAACGTGCGTGTTCCATGTCATTCCGAATACAATAGTAAATTTATTAAAATAGTTCCCATTGGACCGAGTTCGAAAATTCTACTCGTCCGCCAGAGCGGGATTTGTTAACCAATCAGATCTCGGTTTGGAAATCTTCGCTTCCTCGATTCTGATTGGCGTTTGATCAAGTGTCGCTACACCCGACGAGTTTTCAAAAGCATCGAAACGATCCATCAAATTACGAGCGTGACTCGCAGTTACGGTCTCAGCTTTACTGACGTTTGATTGGCCGCCGTGTTACTTCGCTATGTTGTGCCAACTTGTAAAACATTACCGGTGACTAAAGAAAGCAATTTAAATTACTGGACCAGTGGTCTCGCGGCCTGAGTGCAGGAGCTGCGAACCCGAAGGTCTCGAGTTCGAATCCGCCGCCTATTACCTGAGGATTGTTTTCCGAGCCGGTCCTAACTATAAAAATATGAGACACAGAATAATGGCGTATGGGCTGGCTTAAATGGTCCTCTAAGCCACAACTGCACCAAACCAACCAATTTAAATTACTAGAAAATCACTGGGAAGGCATATTACTGGAATGATGGAGGAAATGGATTTTAATATTTAAATGCCGTCGGGGTAGATCTTGAAAAGTTGACAGAAAATGCAAAAAATAACGCACGGGTCTTCTCCCGAGTCAGTAAAAAGCTATAAATCATGGTGATATAATAAAATTGTATTAAAGTTCACACAAAAAAATTCACTAAAAATCAGTTTGCGCGTTTTTTTGCATTATTGCTACATAGTCTACTTGAATCGCCCAAGTCGTAATTAAAAATGCGCGCACGCTCTTTTTTCACAAAAGAGCGCACGAATGTGCACACGCGCGTTTCCTCGCGTGTTTGTTTGTTTTTTTTTCTTTTTTACATAATAGTCAGGTACTCTGATGTGAGCTGCATCGGATCGATCGGATACGACGATAGAACGCGGATCTTCTGCCCGTCCGCGGTCAGAAACTCAATCGACGAGTGCTGACCGTCCGCGATTCCAGGTTGTTCGCCACTTTGCAGTTGATTGATCGTGGCCACCATCGTCGCATCGGTGTTCTCGTCCTGAAAAAAAATTGCGTCGATAAAACGATTTATTATGTTGTCTTACGCGTGCCAATGATGTTGATTTTGCCACTAAAAAAAAAAAAAAAAAAAAAAAAAAATTACCTCAAGTGCCTGAACAATCGCTTCCGCGTCGGCTTGAATCGTCGACATCCCTTCAATTTCCTTAACCGCGTTTGGTTCGCGCGCCGCTGTGCCGCTTTCCGCTGCGACGTCGTCCTCGTCGATGTGGATGTTCAAGGCCTGAAACTGAGTGAACATTCCGGGATGAACCCGAACGAATTGGCCGTCGCTCAGCTGGCTGATCAGGTGTCCTTGGGAGACGAGTTGCCGAGTCTCCTGTACCGACAGCGAAATTGGATTTCCGTCATCGTCGTGGGTGATCTAAAATAATGAAAAAGAATAATAAAACGCATGTGAAGTGAACACACTGTACAATGCCAGCATGGAACATCTGCTGATTTACCTGCAAATGTAAATTCGGTTCGACCTCCGACTGCTGCTCGTTGTCGTTGCTGGTCGCGTTGTTCACAACTTTTGAGCCGTCGGGAAGATCTTCCTCGGTCTCGGTCAACTGTGGCAGTGAAATCGCGCTCGGTGTCTCCTCGCTTTTATTTTTTATCATGCTGGCATCGACTGAATTCGAGCAATGCGAACAATCGGTTAATTAAATGACAATGCAAATTTACACACAATTAAGTATGATAATTAGAGATTTATATACCGAAATGCAACGTTCGCGAAGGATTGGTCTCGTCGGGATCCCGATAGGCTACGTAAATTATTTGTTGGACGCCGTCGGTGGATGTTTCATCGGTGGCGATCACCTGTGTCATTTGACCATCGAGCGCTTGTTCGTCGTTCTCCTGCGAGTTCGGCATGATCTGCCATACCTCGCCGATCTGGGAATTCTCCGACGCGTCCACCTCCTTCGCCTTATGCACCTGCAGAAATCGATAATTGCCATCAACTGCCAATGATTCAGAACAATTAAGAGAAGGAAGACTGTCACCTTTTTGTGCTTTGCCAAGTTTGAACAATCGGCGAAAGCTTTACCGCATATTTTGCAGGAGTACGGTTTTTCACCTGCGAAAACAGAAGTACCTTTATTTTCTAATTCAAGTAAAAATGACAAAAGCTACGTAATAATTGAGAGAAAAATTGTTTATCGGCACGTTTATGTTCACGCTCTCGCTTACCGGTGTGAGAACGAACGTGTTTTCTGAGCGCCCATTGCTCCGTGAAACCGCGATTGCACTCAGTACACTGGAACGGACGTTCCCCTTTGTGCCGGCGCACGTGGCACTTCCACGTGTCCTTGTGCAGGAAGGTCTTCACGCAGAATTCGCACTTCCACGGTCGTTCGCCGGTGTGCCGTTTCACGTGGAGCTTGAACTGCGACGACGTGGTGAACTTGCGACCGCAATAATCGCAGCAATACGGCTTCTCGCCGGTATGAATGCGCATGTGTTCCTGCAGGTTGCCGTTCTGCGAAAAGCTCTTGTGGCACACCTTACACTCGTACGGTTTTTGACCGTTATGCCACCTGAAACAGAGCGGCGATTTTGAAGATACCCCGCTTTATTTCGTGTAGATTTGTTCAAATCCAAAAATTCGTCAAAGTTGTTTCGAAATGTGAGTCATCCACGCCTTCGTTAAAAATTACCTGTAGTGCAATGTGAGACTGGTCTTGTGGGCGAACTGTTGACTGCAAATCTCGCAAAAGTGCTTCTTCTGACCTGTGTGAGTGGCCTGATGATTGATCAGATTCGCCTTCGTTTTGAAACAGGCGTTGCAGGACTTGCAAGTGTGCGGACGGTCGTTCGAGTGCACCAGCTGATGCCGTTGGAGCAATTGTCTGTGCTTGAAGCCCTTGTTGCACTTGTTGCACACGAAACGTCGTCCGTCGTTGTGTTCCGCTTCCTTGTGATACACGATGGAGCTGGGATGATTCAGAACTTTGTCGCACACGTCGCAGGAATAGACCGGTTTAGTTTTCTGCAGCATTGTGCAATAAAATTGAAGAGTTCCTTAGAATATTTTGTGAGAACAATGTTTTGTCATATCTTAACGTAACGTTTGTGATCACAATACACACCTCGTGCGATCCCATGTGTATCTTCAGATTTGACTGATTCACAAAGGTCTTGTCGCAAACGTTGCACGTGTACAACTTCTGCTGATCGTGTTCCATCCTTTGATGCACTTCGCATTCCTGTTTCGACTCGAACTGCTTCTCGCATCTGTCGCATCGATAAATCGCGTCGCCAAGATTCTTCGTCGCATCATCCGTAACCGCGGCGGAAGCATCCTGTTCCACGACGTTCTGCGTTTCCACAGTTCCGGACGGCTCCTGCGACTCGGCGACATTACCTTCGGCGAGATTCGAACTCTGCTGAGTCGTACTCTGAGTCTCCGGATTATCTTTAGCGTCTACGAAGTCTTTGTGAAAGACTTTCCTGAAATAACGATATATCGTTTTACGTGAAATCGCGGCACGTAGTTTTTTGTTTAACAAATTTCTCTTCGAGCGAAAATATTTACTTGTGTATTATGTATTTGCTGCGTTGTAGAAAACCTCTGCCGCAGACGTGGCATATGAATCTAGGTTTGCGACGATGGGACTTCGATCTCGATCGGGCTTTTCCGCGATGCGAGATCACTACCTCGCCCAAGTCCTTACCTTCCTCCGTTTCGAGATGACCGATCACTTCTGAAAGAAAAAACACGCGCGATACATGAGCGAGGAGTGCAAACATGATCTATCTTGTTCTTGACTTCATACACATGTCCTTACTGACCATCTTGAGCGGAAATATTCAAGAGATCCTCCGAGTCGTCCAACATATCAGAGTCGTCATAATCTTCCTCGCCGATCACACCTTCCTCCTTGAATATCCTTTCCAATTCCTTTCCCTGCACCGCTTCTGAGAATCTGTATGAGATAATAATTAATAATCACGGCGACCACATCTAGGATAGATAATAATCTAGCGGTTTAAACCTCTTAGGAACTTTGCGTTTCCTTCTACGCCTGCCATCACCGTCCACTTCGTCGATTTCTTCTTCCTGCTTATCCTCCTCGCCCTGACTTGCAGTCTCTGTGGCGTTTTCTTTCGTTACCTGGTAAAATATACGTAATTAAATTAACTGTAAAAAGCAATACTCTAAAATGTTGCCAATCCTTTACAAACCAAAGATTCCGCTTCCGCGAGCGCTTTCGGTGGACGTCCACGTTTTCTCCTTGGTTTGGTCAGGCCTTCCATTTGCAGAGACATTTCATGCTCCGCTGCATACATAGATCCATCTGGCAATACTAAAACAACAATATTACATACACAATGTCAAGAATATTTAACAAAAATACATATAGCATATAATAGAAAAAATTATGTTACTTTGAACAATAATTTGCTGCTCAAATTCCTCATTCTGCTGAAGTGAGTCATTATTGGCGTCTTCTCTTGCAAGTTCTGCATTTTCGGATTTATTGCGCAGGCGTTCTGCTTTGCGCTGCTGTTCATTTTGATATTTAAACAGAGTACGTAATTTGTGCTGACCAGTCACCACCAGGTCGAAGAACTCTACTGTTGCTTCGAGTTGAATATTGCAACCTGGACAAATTGTTTTTGGTAATTTACCATCATCTTGTACCTGAAAAATTTTAATACAAATTTTTTAAATATCCATTTATAGATATACTAAAATCTAAAAAACAACCGTTTTTCTGCAATATGATCATAAATAAAATTCAAACAGAGATATCTTGTGCGTCACAGTGGAATAGACTTTATCTTTAAATATTCAAAGTAGTGATACTTTGCGTCACCTTTCAGGTCATGTGTCACCTGAAAGGTGACACAAACTGTCTAGCATAAACGAATGAAGCTATTACGAAAAAAACAATAAAAAATGTTTTACTTAAAAGAGACAAAAAGGAGTTCAAAATACCTGACAAAAATAACAATAATCAACTAAACTGCAAGTAAAATGATGAGCACTTGATCAGAGCAGTAGCCGCAAACGTGAATATCTACAATAGTAATCAAGTTGCAGTCCGTTCGGCCAATATTTTGTACGAGCAAGCAGCACTTACCTTGAGTGGTAGATACCGATTCACGAGCGAGCACAGATCCGACCCGCCTTCCTCCCTAACGAATAAGTGTTCGTTACCATTGTCACCCGCGCATAATCGACAGATCGTCGAATCGTACAACGGCACCATGTTTCCGAGAAATCGGCGTCGAAAAACCTGAACCGGATCTAAATAAATCCTAAGAAGCCTGTTGTATTGCGATCAGCGGAAAATGAACGTTAGAGTTGTCTACACATACATCCCCGTGATTTGATATACATATTTGTATGCAAATAATTTTGCATAAAAGTTGCGCACTTGCCCCTCAGATTAGGCAAAGATGTGTCGCTCAGGTTAAGTCATTGGTCGCGTCTTGAAACGTAGTACAGTCGAGGAAAACGTCTCCGAGTCGAAGACCTCTTGCGGTGAACGTGCGCAAGCTACACGTCGACCAATCGCATTTAGTTCGTACAGTTCTTATTTTCTAAAGAATTGAATTCTCTGTGAAATGAATTCTCGGAAATTTCTTTGGAAAAGTATCAGGAGAACATGACCGGCGAAGAGAAGCACTGAAGTTGCACGCACGTATGTTAGATTGTGCGAGATTTTACAAAAAGATACTTATAAAAATTTATATCAGATTCAAAGAAATGATTTTTCTTTGAATTTTGTATAAACAAAGTAGCGCCAGGGTAACGTGATCGTACAGGTTGCAAAAACTAGCGCAATATTTACAAAATTATTGTTTTTATTAAAACTTTGTAGTTTGTTTCATTAAACATTCGTTCGCTTTACTCGTTAGCGATGGTTACTTCCACCTCGACACCAGGCTCGATGGAAATGCTCGTGATTTGCTTGACAATTTCAGATGGCGAGTACAAGTCGATGACACGCTTGTGAATTCGCATCTGGAATCGATCCCACGTCTTCGATCCTTCACCGCACGGTGTTTTACGGGTCGTTATACGCAGAACCTTCGTGGGCATACGTACAGGTCCCTTGACCTTCAACTTTTGCTTCTTGGCGCCGTTGATCAATTCCGCGCAAACTGAAAAAAAAAAAAAATTAAAATTAGAGAAAGTTAAACAAGCTGACAAAGTGGTTCGGTACGGCAGAAAGTTCAAGTATTTTATTTTATGAAACAGAAACTTTTGTGGTTGAAATTATTTACCTTTTTCCAAAGAGCGCACGTTTCTAGAAGTCAGTGTAATCCTGATGCGATGGACTACACTCACTTCCTGTCCCGGTTTCTCCGGATTGTCAATCTTGGTTGTTGCCTATACATGAAAAAATATAAACACTGAATAGCTTCTATAAAAATATTACTGTAAACTTCTCGATTAGTTGAGAAGCTTGTATTGCTTTAACAAAAGGAAAACAATCGGAAATATTTACAAAAGTTTACGCGGTATCAATATTCGAGACATAACCTAACTCAACCGCGTGCAAACAACGTGACGCTTTTCAAAGTACAAATCTATACAAAATACACACTTTAAATGTTACGTGATTGAAAAAAAAAAATTAACGTTACAATAATACAATAATTAATTACCATATTTTACAATACTGGTCGAGATACACAGATCAAAGAACTGATCCGCCAGCGCTGAACCAGTCAAGAAAATCTGCGAAGTATCGAAAAGAGGGACGACGACAAGATTTTCCGGTTGGTAGAACTTAGGGTCAGGTTAGATAACTTCAATAAATTTTTACCTCAGGTCTGTGTCACACGACGGACTGTGTAAGGTTGGATCAGATTTTAACCAATCGGAAGAAAGAAAAAACTAACTTCAGATTAAGTGAGGGCGATGTCCCATTGAGCGGAAATATATAGCGGAACGGAATGTGCGGAACCAGCTCGACCAATCATAGCCATTCCGTTTTCTTTTTTTCGCTTTTTCTGTGGTTACGATTGGTCGAGCTGGTTCCGCACATTCCGTTCCGCTATAGATTTCCGCTCAATGGGACATCGCCCTGAAGTTTGCGGCGATTGGTCCAATTTTGATCGCGTTTGTATTGTAATACGGACACTTCAAGTGCAGTGAGACTGGATCCTCATGCGGACACCGGCGCTTTGACACCGAACGTTGATTGGTGAAAAGCAGGTGGTGAGGGTAAATCAGGGCTGCCGTTTACCTTCACCGTCTGCTTTTCACCAATCAACGCTCGGTGTCTGCATGAGGATCCAGCCTGAGTCACTTTTACCAAACTTTGTCCCTACACTCGATTCACTTAAAGAAGAGAATATTGGCTGCGTTCGGGGAGCGCGCTATCAGCGCTGTTGCATTGGGTGTGTTTAGCCGAAGCTAGCGCTACGTAGCGGCTTCATGTAGCAGTTGCAATTGCTGCGTTACTTCTGCTGGACAGTATTGCTACGCG